TTTTTTAGATTTTTTTAAAATGAATTTTAAAAAGTGCTTTTGGGACCACTTGTGCACACTTTGACCCCCATTTTCTCTGGATTTCTACAGTAAAAGTGAATGATATTTTACACAGTGGTAGAGGGCATCCCAGTGAACAAGTAGGCAGTGAAAGTAGTGAGGGAACTTTTTTAGATTTTTTAAAAATGATTTTTAAAATGTGCTTTTGGGACCAAAATGGCACACTTTGACCCCCATTTTCTCTGGATTTCTACAGTAAAAGTGAATGATATTTTACACAGTGGTAGAGGGTATCCTGGTGAACAAGTGTGCAGTGAAAGTAGTCTGGGAACTCTTTTAGATTTTTTTAAAATTAATTTTAAAAAGTGCTTTTGGGACCAAAATGGCACACTTTGACCCCCATTTTCTCTAGATTTCTACAGTAAAAGTGAATGATATTTTACACAGTGGTAGAGGGCATCCTGGTGAACAAGTGTGCAGTGAAAGTAGTGAGGGAACTTTTTTAGTTTTTTTTTTAATGAATTTTAAAAAGTGCTTTTGGGACCAAAATGGCACACTTTGACCCCCATTTTCTCTGGATTTCTACAGTAAAAGTGAATGACATTTTACACAGTAGTAGAGGGCATCTTAGTGAACAAGTGTGCAGTGAAAGTAGTCAGGGAACTTTTTTAGATTTTTTAAAAATGAATTTAAAAAGGGCTTTTGGGACCACTTGTGCACACTTTGGCCCCCATTTTCTCTGGATTTCTACAGTAAAAGTGAATGATATTTTACACAGTGGTAGAGGGCATCCTGTTGAACAAGTGTGCAGTGAAATCAGTCAGGGAACTTTTTTATATTTTTTTAAAATGAATTTTAAAAAGTGCTTTTGGGACCACTTGTGCACACTTTGGCCCCCATTTTCTCTGGATTTCTACAGTAAAAGTGAATGATATTTTACACAGTGGTAGAGGGCATCCTGTTGAACAAGTGTGCAGTGAAATCAGTCAGGGAACTTTTTTATATTTTTTTAAAATGAATTTTAAAAAGTGCTTTTGGGACCACTTGTGCATACTTTGACCCCCATTTTCTCTGGATTTCTACAGTAAAAGTGAATAAAATTTTACACAGTGGTAAAGGGCATCCCAGTGAACAAGTGTGCAGTGAAAGTAGTGAGGGAACTTTTTTAGATTTTTAAAAAATTAATTTTAAAAAGTGCTTTTGGGACCACTTGTGCACACTTTGACCCCCATTTTCTCTGGATTTCTACAGTAAAAGTAAATGATATTGTACACAGTGGTAGAGGGCATCCCAGTGAACAAGTGTGCAGTGAAAGTAGTCTGGGAACTTTTTTAGATTTTTTTAAAATGATTTTTAAAAAGTGCTTTTGGGACCACTTGTGCACACTTTGACCCCCATTTTCTCTGTATTTCTACAGTAAAAGTGAATGATATTTTACACAGTGGTAGAGGGCATCCTGGTGAACAAGTGTGCAGTGAAAGCAGTCAGGGAACTTTTTTCGATTTTTTAAAAATTAATTTTAAAAAGTGCTTTTGGGACCAAAATGGCACATTTTGACCCCCATTTTCTCAGAATTTCTAGAGTAAAAATGAATGATATTTTACACAGTGGTAAAGAGCATCTCATTGAAGAAGTGTGCAGTGAAAGTATTGTCAAACCTCTTTTTGTTCTTTTTTAATGATTTTTTAAAAGATATAGCATTTTGCTTTCTCGTCGTCACGGCTTCCCTTTCCACATTTACCGTAAGTAACAGCATAAAAGAGCCAACCGCTTTCAAAGTGCGGACCTCTTTACCGCTCGCGACGAAATGCAGGGCCACTTTACCGCGGTGCCTCGCACCACAGTATATTCGAGAAATGTTAGCGCCATATGAGCCGGTTAGGACACTGCGGAGCACAGGGACTGGCCTCCTGCTGGTGCCTAGGGTCAGGACTGGACATGGGGAGGCGGCATTTCAAATTTATGCAGCCAGAATTTGGAACAGTCTCCCTGAGCTTGTGAGACAGGCCTCGACCCTGGCAATGTTTAAGTCCAGGCTGAAAACTGTCTTATTCAGGTATGCATATGACTAATCTGAAGTATTTATTTTTTAAATGTTCGTAACTTTTAACTTTTTATTACAATATTTTATATGCATATACACTGTTTTTTTGCTTGTGAAGCACTTTGGGTTACACTGTATGAATTGTGCTTTATAAATAAATTTGATTTGATTGATAAGTAAGTTATAGTCCTTGTAAACTTTGCAACTTCCCTCCCTTGAAAAAGAGGTTCTTAATCTCAATGTATCTTACCTGGTTAAATAAAGGTTAAATAAATTATAAAAAATGCGTAGCTTGACTGGAGTAATCAGGGAAAACTGAGATGATTTGTTGCAGTTCTCTGGCCCTTCAGAGGATTTTCGTACTGTTGTGATGTAATCTAGTTTCCACTGCATAAGGCGAGTAGCATTCATTTCCCAGTGCACCTGATCCACAAGGGGTTTCTTCCCAAGCCGGAGAAAGGAAGTGTATGAGTATGGACTTAATTTATAACGTTTTGTATGTGTAGAGAATCTGGACATGAAACATATTCTGCTGCTGCCAGACAAATAGTGTATAAGGTCATGTTGTCGTCACTGTGCGGGAAACAAAGCGGTCAGTACATGTAAAAAGAGACCACTCCATGTCAGCAATAGTAGCTTTTTAGCTCTGAGACATCTTGTTTTACAGAGTTAATGCAGCCTCTAGTCTAGGTGCTCAATTGTGAAAACAGTGGGGTCACTCAGGCCTAACTATTCACTTCCTTTAGACGGCTCCAAGGATTTCCTGTGGCTCAGGGAAGCATCGGTAACAGCACTCTGTCGGTGAACCTCGGCATTCTTTCCTTTGTGTTGTGGACAGAGATGTGCCAAAACTATTGGATAATATAAATCTGTGCATGAGACACATGTTTTAACTACAGAGAGCAGAGCAGTACCATTTGTGGCAGGTATAAAATGGTTCTAGATTTATATAGAGATATTCATGGTTTATTAAATGTAAGAACGAGCCCCAGGTGATGTCATCATATAGCAGACACACAAAGGTGACTGGTCTGGTGCTTTCATTAAAACACGCCTGATCCAGGCATGTTCCAGGCATGTTCCAGGTCTAAATCTGGTTCTATTTTTGGCCTAAAGCACTTAATCCTGAATTCTCAGTTTCACTGAGAAGTACAAAGATTTGCTCCATTCCAAGGCTGGAGGTGAACCAGGACTGAACCAGGACTAAAGCAGAGCTGAAAGAGGACGGAACTGAGTCTTAATCCGGACTGAACCAAGACAGGCCAACAGGGTTTACCCAAGACTAAACAAGGTTACAGATTAGATCAGGGCTTTCTGACAACACAGACTATCTGAATACTTTATCTGCTCTTTCAGAAGAACCAGGTCTGAACCAGGACTGAGGTTGGTCTGAACCAGGACTGAGTCAGGTCTGAACCAGGTCTGAACCAGGACTTACATACTGGCTGTCTGAGTCGGGACCCATGGACCTGTTCATCCGGAGCCATGAGCTGCACCAGAGCCACCGTACGTTATATCTGACCATCCCCTCCCTTGCTTTACTTTATATACTGTCTTGTCTTTTGTTGAGCTTTCAGTCTTGTGTCTGCATATTTCCACATAAAAAATACCTGTTTTGTTCCCGTAATATCAGGTACTGGCACAAATTGGCACAAACTGGCACACAGATCTTTCAGGAGGGCTAAAGACTTTTTCACAAGATTAGCCGAAAGTAAGATTTCTCTGCTGCTCTCCGCCTGGTGCGTAGGAGAGAGAGCTACAGTATGTTGCCATTCCTGTCCATTAATGTCCATGGCAGTGATGGCACAGCTACGTTCAGATTGACAAAGGTTAGCAAGGACTGTTACACGGGAAGGGGGGCTTCATAGAAAGTATGTTTTTAAATCTTGAATTATCTCTCTCAATATTGAGGTATTGAGCAAATACAGTATGAGGAAGGAGTAACTTCTGAGAGTCTGGGGCTCTACCAGCTCCTGTTTGGCTGGATGTGAGTGTGCGTGTTGTGTGTGCGTCCATGCGTGTTTGTGAAACAAGGGACATTCCTGGGGCCCCTCATTAGTCACATCCACGAACACAAACAACAGACTACTGTAGTCCTTTTTTAATCCTCCCCTTTCCTCTTGGTTAAGTCCTAGTTGAGGTCTGGGTTAGATGTTATACCGGTCTTGTCCAGGTGAGTGTTCATGGAAGTCTTAACCCAGAGACCTGTTCTCCAGGTCAGGGATTAGGACCTAATCTGCTCTTATCTGGGTCTCTATTGATTTGAATTTAACACAGAATAGGTGGTCCTGTGCGTCACATTACAGCTCAAATTTACCCACATTTGACATGTTCTGATGAAAATACAATAATGTCACACATACACACGCTCACACTCACATGCAGGGGATAGAGGGGGGCAGATGGTGATTGGTCCATATCCAGGTCTAATCCCTTTATGGGGCGGGCCTACTGCAGCTCTGTGCTCCTCTAGTCACTGTTACACAGGATACTTATACTCTGAACTGGAGCTATATGCGTGCTGGATTAGAGTACTCTATATCCTACTGCATTCTGTGTTACCACGGAATGCAACTGGACTAATGTACAGCTTGGACTACTGCAGTGTGGAGTATTGCAGTACTGCTGAGGACTTGTCTGGACCAGACATCTCGCCAGCAGAGGAGCCATGGAAGATGACATAGTGTGGAGAAGTAATCTGTACCTCAGCAGCACCTGTTGGATCCCATGTCCTTTATTATAGTCAGATATAATGGAGTTAGAGTGGACTGTTATAGAATATGTCTGTATTCTGTGGGCTGCGTAGTATATGAAGAGAAGGGGAAGATATTTATGAAGATGTCTGTCACAGGTGAAAATCTGCACTAGTACTGTATGGTCTTGGTCAGAGTGAGAATGGCTGTCATCGGTGAAGGTCTACAGTAGTACTGAACGCTCAGTCTGGGTCACTGTGAGGATGGCTGTCAGAGCTGCTCTAGTCTGCGATCAGGACCACTGTAAGATGTCTCAGAAGAACAGAACCTGCAGCCACCTGCTGGATGGAATCACACACCAGGTACTCACCGGACCCAGAGACGAGACCAGAGACCATAGAGACCAGACAAGAGAGAACAGAGACTTCCGAGATCAGAGAGACAAGAGAGAATAGAGACCACATAGACTACATAGACCACATAGACCACATAGACCACATAGACCACATAGACCACATAGACCAGAGACTCCAGAGATCAGAAAGATCACAGAATTAGTCCCTTGACCCTTTCGTTTGAGCCTGTTTGTAAAATATTTGAATTGTGTTTCTTGAGTCTGAACCATATAATGTAAATATTAACGGACGTAGTCACACCTGTCTCCACCGTTGAAACTAATGTGCTACCACTTTCGCCGTCTATGGACAGTTTCAAAATGGCCACGGCGGCTGGCAAATGTGAAACGCATTTGTGAATGCGTCAGCCTGCACAAGCCCCATTCATTTAACGAGTGTCTTCAATATTCCACAACGACTAAACTAGAGTGGTCCAAAAACTTTACTCCCCTCAGCATTGACGCACATGTGGAACGTGGTTTTGGGCCAAGAGCCAACTTTTGGACCCTCCTGTGAAGCCCTTTTCAAGAGGAAAGAAGATGCTATACATTAGCATTGGCTAATTAATTCTTATTCTGGGTCCACCCCCATTGGGCCAGTGTGGTATTGCAAGCATGACAGTGTCAGAAGTGGAAGAGCAGGTTCTTTGGACCCGGGTTTAAAAGGAGACCACTGGATTAAAAGCAAATTAAAAACGATTTATTATAATAAAACAATAAAAAACAATAAAACCTAAGCTAAAACCAGAGGCTAAAATAGGGAAAAAAAAGTCCTCTTGTCCACGGCCTGGGCCATCAGACCACAGGGCTCTCCCTTCACCGTGTCTGGCTCCCGTGTCTCCCTCTCCTTTACTATAATATACTAAAATTAGGGCGACAGTGGCTCAGTTGGTAGAGCATTGGCCTTTGGGCCTGAAGGTTGTGGGTTCGAGCCCACCACAAGACCTACTTCACGACTCCCACTGATGACTGCTGTCGTTGTGTCCTTGGGCAAGACACTTAACCCCACTTTGCCTGAAGCCCCCACTGGAAGATCTCGGCTCCTGTGGACTCACTGCCTGCAGGAGGATCAGTGAGGGGCTGGTGCTAAGTGTACTGGGTACAGCTCTGACTGCCACCCCCCCCTCATCCCAGAAATGGATTAAGGGGAAGAAAATGGATGGATGGAGAATAATATTAGATGCATTTGAAACACCTTGTCAGAGTAAACCAATACACAACTAATATAATTCATCGGTTTTCCTTTGTGAAAGACATAATGCAATTATTTTCGTGTAGCCTTAATCCTAGAGGACATCCCAGAAAACTTGACAAAGCTGTCGATTCGCCAACACAGATCAGAGAATCAAACAGTTCAAACACAGGAAATGATAAAAACATGATAAAAACACAGCACATGAACAATGTCCCACAAACGGATCGCAATAGATCCAGGACTAAGTGAAGTGAAAGCAAATACTAGTATCGTATGTTTGTAAACAGCAAATATTAAGTTTCTTTAAGTTTATATTTATATATTTTTCAAATGCATTAATCTATATTACACACATTAAAACAGAATGACAGATAAAAAAGCTCATGATCCAATGTTTTGGACCTTGCCAATGATATGGGCTGAAGTGATCTCCAGCAAAACCACTGGTGTTAGATTATACAGATATTGTTGAGCTTTGAACATCTCCCAAAGCAGTGGTTCTTCTGCCCAGACTAACAGCGCTGGTCAGAGAGGAGCTGCAGACCTCAACAGCTCAGCCACAAAAAACACAAATATGGGCCTTGAACAAAAATACAATAAATGATCTTCATCTTTGTGGTTATAACAAAATGTGGAAAGTTCACGGTGCATTTGTGTTTTTTATTTTGTCTTTGTCCAATAACTGTGAGCGGCGTCAGCACGAGTAGCCATCCAAGCAATGCAAAATACTTACTTACTTAAAATAGCAATGCACGTCTGGTTTGAAAAATACTTAACAAACAAATGTGTCTGAGGTTTAAAGTCAGTCCTGTTTTAGTCCTGCTTTAAACCTACACTAGACGTTCCTCAGACTTCATTCAGTCATCTTTTTTAAACTTGTTTCAGTGCTGCATTCGTCCGTCTGCAGTTGATGTAGGTCAGGGAAGATTAATGGACTATATTTGTCTGATGTGAATAATCTGAGATTATGAGTGTGTCGTCATGACGATAACAACAACAAACTACTGAGCAGGTGATTGACAAGGTTTCAAATATGCCGGTATTATAGTATATTAAAATAGTTTGGGGAGAAGTTTAAACCCAACTCAGTCTGTGTAGATGTGCTAATCAGTGTGAGATGAATCTGTCAACATTCTTGAGGGTGTTCTTGAAAGCCTGCAACCAATCTATGCACCAGATAGTAAACAGAATGCCTTTTCAGAATGTTTTACTTGAGCCTAACAACAAACCCACTGTCTTTTCCTGTGAGCGCCGCTGCACCATCGGTGGCTATGCTTATCTATCTATCTACATCAGATACGTCATCAAAAAGTCATCATTCCCTTCATCATAGCATTAGAAATGGATTCAGCATTGAGCCCACTTCTAAATTCCACTAGATCCAGGAAAACTGCTCTGAGAGCAGCTTCAGAGACAGACTTATTCATCCTCGCTGTGTGAAGGAGAGGTTTCGCAGATCCTTCCTCCCTGCTGCTGTCAGACTGTACAACGATAACTACTGAGTCTATACACATGCCACTCACTTGTTCTGATAATTTCGCTAGTCACTCACTCGTCACTGGTCACTTTACCGGTGGTTGTTGTTGTTGTCACTATTATAAATGTTTTTTTTCTGGTCATATTCTCTGCAGCTAAAGTACAATATACACATCTGTAAATACCTCCAAACCAAGTGCAATTTTAAATCCAGAGTTTTATTTTATATAATAATAGAGCCGGAGCGGGAGCCTAGAGCGGGAGCCTAGAGCGGGAGCCTAGAGCGGGAGCCGGAGGAGGTGTTGGGGAGGTGGTTGGTGTTAAGGCTTCAAGAAGCGCTGCTTGTCAGGAAGTGGCTGCCTTTTAAACTGCCCGCTTTGATGACAGAGAGTTGGCAGGAGGCTGGCCGGGCTGTGTGATTGGTTGGCTTGGAAGGGGGAATTTGCACTCGGTCTTTCAGTCTGAATCTGCGCTTTCAGCTTCATTAGTCACTCTAAGTACAATTTCTCCCACATAAAGAAATGAGGGAAGTATATAATTGTCATCCTAGGTATACCTCAACTATGAGAGACAGAATAACAGAAAACATTCCAGAAATTCCTATTTTTTTCCAAGAATGTATTTGCAATTTATGGTGGAATATAAGTATTTGGTCAATTCATAGTTCATCTCAATACTTAGTTATATACCCTTTCTTGGCAATGACAGAGCTCAAAGGTTTCCTTTAAGTATTCACAAGTTTTTCACACACTGTTGCTAGTATTTTGGCCCATTCCTCCATGCAGATCTCCTCTAGAGCAGTGAGGTTTTGGGGCTGTCGCTGGGCAATACAGACTTTCAACTCCCTTCAAAGATTTTCTATGGAGTTGAGATCTGGAGACTGGCTAGGCCACTCCAGGATATTGAAATGCTTCTTACAAAACCACTCCTTCGTTGCTCAGGAGGTGTATCTGGAAAGACCCAATGAAAAAATGGAGATGACTCTGCACAGCTTTCGCTCCCAAGAGATTTTAATTATCACCACAAGATGTGACGTTTCGGGTGACACCACCCTTTATCAGACAGATGACACATGTCAACATTTCATCTTCAATGCCCTTGCTGATGGAAGGAAATTTTCATTCAAAATCTGCAGAAAAAACAGCTCCCATGCATGATGTTTCCACCCCCATGCTTCACAGTAGGTATGGTGTTCTTTGGTTGTAACTCAGCAGTCATTCCTCCTGCAAACACGACGAGTTGAGTTTATACCAAAAAGTTCTACAGTAGTTTGGTTTCATCTGACCAAATGACATTTTCACAATCCTCTTCTGGATCATCCAAATGATCTCTAGCAAACTTAAGACGGGCCTGGACATGTACTGGCTTAAGCAGATCGAGGGAGATTATCAGTGGTCTTGTATGTCTTCCATTTCATAATAATTTCTCCCACGGTTGATTTCTTCACACCAAGCCATGGAATAGGATTACTATTGCAACAACACATCATTAGTAGGGTAAAACTAACCTGTCTCACGACGGTCTAAACCCAGCTCATGTGCCCTATTAGTGGGTGAACAATCCAACGCTTGGTGAATTCTGCTTCACAATGATTGGAAGAGCCGACATCGAAGGATCAAAAAGCGTCGTCGCTATGAACGCTTGACCGCCGCAAGCCAGTTATCCCTGTGGTAACTTTTCTGACACCTACTGCTTAAAACATAAAAATTGTGAGGCTCTGCTTTCACGGTCTGTATTCATACTGAAAACCCTACCTGTTGCAGATTCAGTCTTCCCTGCAGGTCTGCAACTTTTTTTCTGGTATCCTTTAACAGCTCTTTGGTCTTGGCCATAGTGGAGTTTGGAGTCTGACTGTTTGAGGCTGTGGACAGGTGTCTTTCCTACTGATAACAAGTTCAAACAGGTCTCATTGATACAGGTAAAGAGTGGAGGACAGAGGAGCCTCTTAAAGAAGGAGTTACAGGTCTGTGAGAGCCACAAATCCTTAGGTAGGTGACCAAATACTTATTGTCCACCATAATTTGCAAATAAACTCTTAAAATGGGATTTTCTGGATTCTTTTCTCAATCTGTCTCTCATAGTTGAGGTACACCTACAGTATGATGATAATTACAAATCTCCCTAATCTTTTTAAGTGGGAGAACTTGCACATTTGGTGGTTGACTAAATACCTTTTTGCCCCACTGTACGTAGATTATTTGATAGGATATGGTGCTTTCATCAATAGTGATTGACACCCATGAATCACTAACTTTTGCTGGGTTTCCTCACCACTGTGACTGATTATTTTATTGCATGCATGATCAGCTTAGTGGATATTACCAACTTTGGCCTGTTACGTTCCTGCATTGTCATGAGTGGTTTTTGCTTTTGCCATGGTGTAAGCTGTCCTGAATGAGACTTTTGCTTTCTTCAGTAAATTAGACTGCATATCAATAAAAGTGTTGAGGAGGTCGACTTTCTCTTTCAGATCTCATCTTTTTCCACTCACCTTTGGTAGTCGGGGGTTTCCCTGTGTTTGTAGAACACTATTGCTCCATTCATCTGCTCGTAAGCCTGGGTCCTTCTCTGAGAGTAGTAAAGTTTTCACTTTTTGCTAAACTCCCCGCATTAAAGTAAAGACAGGAGGTGTGGTCTTTTCATTTGTGCACCTGCTTTCTTGTCCAGCCGATATGTCACATACAGTATGTTAGGGGCAGCACCACACTCAGCCTCAGACTCAGCATCATCTGGTGCCTGACTGGGTGGGAACATCAGCAGCTTCATCTAATGCCACTTTTTTGAGACGTAACAAATGAGTCAGTGACACGGTCTGTCGCTTTCACCTGAGGGTTGCAGGGTCGCTTCCAACCATCCCGCACCCCCTTATATTTCGCACCATGGCGCTAATGTCTGCAACTCTCGTGTCTGTGTGATTGACAGGTGTGCTGCTGCTGTGGCCCCGCCCCTTGCTCGCTCTGTTGTCACTTCCTGCCGGCCGTTAAAGTTTCCACATCGACACGTGTCATGTACACACTGTTCCATGTGTTCAGCTGCACACTGTCCTGTCTTATGCTGTCGCGCACCGTCACAGACCTGGTTCGTAAGAATGTGAGTCACACACACACGCGCACACACACACTGTCAAATGATACTGTTGCGCACTGCTGTAGACGGTGCATTACACATTTGGAAAACATCAGCAATAAATGATGTATAAAATGTATTGCACACACCTCCTCCTCATGCGCAATGAACCCGTGAAATCTGCGGCCATGATCCTGCTTTACGCCCTGGCCCAAGCCCCGGCGATCCAAGATGGCGCCCTATTCAAATGAATTGTTGTGCTCAGTGGCGCTTTGTGACGGCATGGGGGCTGAAAAGATTAGCGGAAGTTGCCTGAAACTCGCAAAGATCTATGGGTAACTCGCAAAGATCTATGGGAATCTCGCCTGTATTTGGGCATCGTCTGGTCCTCCCGGTTCTGCGCAGTGGATGATCTCCCATAATGCGTTGCGTCAAACACGCGTGTGTGGGTCTCACACCGGGTCTCACACACGTGCACAGAGGGGCTCGGCCGCGCTTTGACCAATCAGAGCAGTTCATCAGAGCGGGAGTTAGAGAGAGAGCCAGAGGAGTAGAGTTTGTGGCACTAAAGTGTGGATTTAAACAAAACCGAAGGATTTAAGAAGAAAAAAAGTTCAGGATGACAAGGGACGCTAAAATCCCCACAAAATCCTATCTTTATTAAAGCTGTAGGTTCTCTGTCAGCTGAGGTCGAGCTGTTTTAATATGCATTGAGTTCTATGGGGAAAATTTCTGGGTAGCCCACGTGAATTTAGTCTGGTTCAGTCTGCAGTACCGCGAGAATCCCCTGAGCACATGGGTTCTTCAGCTCCAAGCTAGTAATACCCTATCCAGTTAATATAATAGATCCATGCCCTGGCCTCGTCACACGTCCAGTTCACAATAATTGTGTTTTGCGACGACACAGTCAGTGCTTGGGATTTTTGCCCAAGATGTCGCTGGAGAACGCTGATGAGATGGGGCTGTCAATAAAATGGTGAGAGTCTGTCTTCAGCTGAACCAGGCGGCGAAGTAAAAGCAACAGCCGCCTGACTGTGTCACCTGCATGGAATGCAAAGTTTGTGCTAGCGGCACTACATTTCCCATCATGCACTTGGAATGCTAAATGCTACTTGCGCTAAAGAGTGGCTGATAGCTCCTCAGTGACTACTATTGGTGCTTGTTTGTTTGAATCAGAAACAGTGTCTCCTGGCTGTATTTCTCACTGTTGTATCATCATAGAGTTTTATTATGAAACAGACAGGTCCTCCTTTACAAGTTTTTTTTATGAAGCAGACAGGTTTCTTTTTTTTTTTTATGTACGGGGCCCCCTACCTGACATTTGCAAAATAAAGTTGTTTTTTTCCTCTCAAAATCCTATTTTGTTCCCAGAATAATGCTATCTAAACAGCCAGTAGTATGAATTTCAAGCATTGCTGTCCACAGTAAGGATAGCTCAGCTGGTAGATGTGGAGACATTTATTTTATTGCACATTATTTATGACTGTCCTGTATTGTATTTTACAAAAAAGAAAAGTAGGTCAACTGCAGGCTCACTATAGGTCCATTGTAACCTGTGTGCTGTGTTCCAGGTGCCCTTCCTGGGCTCCCTGTGCCTGGACTCTTCAGGAGACTGCCAGTTATTGGTTGGATACTCGGCTGTTTACAGAATCTGCTTTGGCACTGCCTGTTTCCACCTGCTGTTGGCGCTCTTCCTCATTGACGTTAGGTCTAGTCAGAACTATAGAGCCGTGGTGCACAACGGGTGAGTCCTGACCGCTCCACTCCACCTAGTTCAGACCTAGTTCAGACCCATTCAGACCTAATCCTAACCTACTCCTACTGATCTTCAGGTTCTGGTTGGTGAAATTCCTGACCCTGTTGGCAATGTGCACTGCTGCCTTCTTCATCCCAACAGAGTCGTTCCTTCATGGTGAGTAAAGTTGTATTATATGGCCCCTGTAGGGAAATGTGTCCTCTGCATTTGACCCATTCTTCCAATGCCACCATGTCTGTCAGGAGAAGTGGGGTTGCCGTAGTACAACGACCATGTCCAGGTGTTGATGTTTGGGTTTTTCAGGATCCGAGTTAGTTCTTACCTACATGAAGTCATTGTCCTGACCCAATCCCAAACTGCCCCGAAGTAGTTGGCCTGTGAGATATAAGATGACAAAGTAGCAAGGAATACCAGACTGGATACTTTGTTGTCCTCCACCAATTTGCTTCCAGCATTATCTCTGAACAGAGTTTATATACTGTCTGTTTGTGTCTCCCTGAATAGAACAGTCTCTTCTTCCAAAAAGAATCAGATTTTATGATTAACCAATAGAAAAATGTCCCCATAAGTAGATTTCTGTCACACAATTCTGTAGTCAGACAAGTTGGAGTAAGTGGTCAGAAGTTCCGGCTCTTCTTAGGGTCTTGGCCCTACGTTTGGACGTTTTAAGTGTTGACATCTTATTGGTCGATGCTCGTGAGGTACATGTTTTTAGCGGTAGGGGAGAACCCGGAGAAAATCTACACAGACACAGGGAGAACTCCACTCAGAAAGATCCTGTTCCGACTGGGAATAAACCCCGACAGACCATCTTGCTGGGAAGCGAGTGCCCTGGTTTTACCTTCATTCATGATTTCATGTTAATATCAATAACATCTGTCCCTTCTTTCTGAATTGTCCATTCTGTAGCTTTTATTATGATACAATATTCCATCATCAACAAAACCATTTTCTGGTCATCAAATAAAATGGATTTCCACCAAATTAGTGTCAATTTTCCTCAAAACTATCCCTTCTGCCATTGTTTTATACATACACATATTATTTACTTAAGACATGGTTTCTCATCCTAAAACACAAATTCCAAAGAATCTATCCTCAAGTTTAGGGCTCATATTGAACGTAAAGTAAAATATATTTTCCTTGACACTTCACATTATTCTCGTGTTTTTAATGTGGCATTAAATGTTTGTATTTTCTGTATTCTTAAGTGTTAAGTGTTTATCATATTACCATTGTGTTTTTAGTGTGGCATTACGTGGGCGTGGTCGGTGGTTTTGCCTTCATCCTGATCCAACTCGTCCTCATCACTGCGTTCGCTCATCAGTGGAACAAAAACTGGTCAGAAACTAAACATCATTATCACTAAGGTGTAACAGGAGATTATGATGGTATACTGTCGTGTCGTGTCGTGTCGTGTCGTGTCATGGGGTGACAGTAGCTCAGTTGGTAGAGCACTGGTCTTTGGACCCAATGGTCGTGGGTTCATGCCCACCACAACCCATGTCACCTGCTCCCACTGATGTCTGCTGTCAGTGTGTTCCTGGGCATGTGTGTGTATGGCCTGGGTATTGTTTATAATTAATAATTAATAATATAATGAATTTCACTTAATACATTTCAAATGTCAAGATTGTAAATGACTTTATTGTAAATATGTGCAGTTGTGATTGGAGCTACTCCTTTTGAGTAAGGGGTGTATGGTCGGAGTGTTTGGGGCCTGTATCGTGTTTCTGTTTATTGTATGTTTGGTGTAGTGTGGTGTGAGTGGAGGGTTGGAATCGAACAAGCGTAAGCTTCCTCCATCCCCTTTTCAAGTCACATGATTGTGAATTGTAATTGACTGTGAATGTTATTTTTTCTTTACTTGTCTGGAGTAGGGATTCGCACATCAATACCTACAGATCGGGTGCGTAGGAGGAGAGGCCTGTATAGCCTTATGTCAGAGAGAGAATAATCACGCACACCGTCTTACTTGCAAATTAAAAAATATTTATTTAAATTGCGACGTTTCGGCGTTATGCCTTCATCAAGCAAACATTTTTTCTTTACTTGAAATAAATAAACAAACAAACAAAGCAGTGGGTTTACATGTAAAGTCAATGGTGACGTACGTCGGTGTGTATATTCATATCTGCGTTTTTGTGGTGAGGCCACTTTACACATGCTGAGAAATGTAGGCAGATAAACATACTGTAGCTCAACTTTTTGAATCAGAGAGCAGAAAAGTAGTCAGAGACAAAAGCTGCTCAGAGCAGCTGGTGCTGATGGGGAAAACTAAAACAAAATCACCTCACAGCCAGATACCAGAAGCTAATCAGTGCAGGGTCTGGATAATACTGTGATGGGAGACCTTTGGAAACACCAAGGCCTTCAGCAAGATACTTCACTCACATAAGTATAAGTCTGCAACAACTGAAAATAAACTGATGAAATTTCTGTTTTTAAAGGGCAGTAACATCACAGCTGCATATGTTTCTGCCATATTCTGCATGTTTGAATCATTCCATTTAAAATGATATATATTGTTTTCATTAAGCAGACTGAAAAGAGGGAACGACTTGAAAGAGTTGTTTTACTAAACACTAATGAGTATCTCTGTTGTTGGGCTACATATAATGAAATATATTAATTGTCGGGGATGATGGGGGCACGTATATGATGCTGTTGTGCCCGCAGGCTGACAGGCGCGGCGGAGCACCCGCGCTGGTACCTCGCCATCACATGTGCCACTCTGCTCTTCTACACGGTGGCTGCGTTGGCCTTCGCTTTCATGTTGAAGTATTACACTCACCCAAACCTGTGCCAGTCCAACCGCGTCCTGCTGTGGGGGCAGCTGTGCCTGTGCATCGCCATGGGCCTAGTGTCGGTGACGCCCTGTGTCAAAGACAGTGAGTCATGCACTCACACAAACACGCACACAAACACACAAACACACAAACACACACACACACACACAAGCACTCACACACACACACACACACACACACAGACTTAGTTTGGCGAAGGTGAGTATTTGTTACGTCTGTATTCTATTTATATCCCGGTCAGCGCACGGCCTTTCTGAGTGGAGTTTGCATGTTCTCCCCGTGTCTGCGTAGGTTTCCTCCGGGTACTCCGGTTTCCCCTACCACTAAAAATATGCTCACTAGGTAAAATCCTCCAGCTCCGGTAGTCCTGACCAAGCCGAGCATCAACATCTGGAGATGGGTTCCCGGGCGCTGTTACTACGGCGACCACTGCTCCTGACGTAAGCCTTAGTGGCATCAGGATGGGTCAAATGCAGAGGACAAATTTCCCTACGGGGACAATAAAGTGCACATTTACATTTACATTTACATATGATCAAAATACATTATGGTACTGCCCAAAATATCAAAGAGAGCCATCTTTGTTGGACAAAAGGACACATATAGCAGATTGTAAAATAAAATCCCACAGATCCTGGTGGTATGGATCAGGGAGTTTATGTCCATTTTTGGAGTACACCTTGATGTCATCCATGTAGAAGAGGTGACTGATCTTTGCTCCGTTCCTGAGGCGGTATCCATCCATGAAGATTATTTGGCCCAGAGGGTTCAGACCTGTACAGAACTACAGTGAGAACAGTGCATCTTTGGTAGATCCCTTATTTGATGGTCACTGGTGCAAGCGGCTTACCAAAGGCCTCAAGGGTGGTCTTCCACATCCCCAGTGAGTTTGCAATAAAGTATCTTAGAGCCCTGTTGATATTGTACAACTTCAAGCATTCCACGATCCATGTGTGGGGCAATGACTTGTGGGCTTTCTGGTAATTAATCCAGGCTGTGCACAGAGTGTCGTGACGGACTTGGGCGAATGCCCTTCTGTGCTGTGCTCATTAATTGTTTCATGAGCCCTCTTATAGCATGAGCTTCCAGGTAGACAGGCTATTGGCCATTTAGTTGGAGGGACTTCAGGACCTGAGATTCATACCTGTAATTCTTGCTCGGATGTCTGCCTCTGTGATGGTAACTGAGTTCTGTTCTGGCTGTGCTCTTCTCTCAGCGACACCAGCCTTTGTGCACTGCTGTTATGTGCTGCTACCTTCTCCCATATGCTCTTCCAGATTCTTTTGGTCTTCAGCCATGGTGCGTCTGCTCCACTATTGTTAGCGTACTATGACCGCAAACTTTCACTGGTTGCAAACGCATCTAGCTTCTGTATCTTTAGTCTACCTCTGTAGGCGGCTGGCCGGAATCTGGAGCCTTTGTTGTCACATGGAGCTGAGATGGGGACAATGAGTATGCCCACCCGAGCTCTCCGCCTCTCTGCGTAAGAAACACCGGAAAAGTGTGTCATCTGAGGAGTTGGGTTCTGCTTTTTAAAACAAATGTTATATTGGATCTATAATTATAAAAACTGAGCGTGATTTTCTGCATTAAAAAAACTGAGATTACTGAAATATTTGAGGATACAAACACAGTATGTATCATTACACCTAATGAACCTCTAATTTAGCATGTGCTTGTTTTGTTCTCAGAGCAGCCGCGCTCAGGTTTACTACAAGCCTCCATCATCAGCTGCTATGTCATGTACCTCACATTCTCAGCCCTGAGCTCCAGACCTCCTGAGACAGGTACTACTACTACTACTACTACTACTACTACTACTACTGCTACTACTAACTACTACTACTACTACTACTACTACTACTAGAACTACAACTACAACTACAACTACTACTACTACTACTCCTACTACAACAACTACTACTACTACTACTGCTACTGCTACTGCTACTACTACTACTACTACTACTACTACTATTAATAATTCTAATGCATGTATAACTGTTAACATTGTGAGTAGCCTTACTACTGTTTCTCCGCTTCTGCTACCACTATTGTAAATATTACTAATACTAGTACACAGTAATACTACACATGTACCCGTGTTTACCCCTGTTCATCTGTGTCCAGTGCTGGTTCAGGGCATAAACACCACGGTGTGTTTTCCCACGTTGGGTCAAAGGGAGGTGAAGAGCGAGGGGAACACCGTGGCTGTGATCGGAGCTGCCATCATGTACTGCTGTGTGCTGTTCGCCTGGTGAGTCCTGCCAACGGTCTTACTCTACCGGCCTGAGAGCTTGATTACTATTTTACTCCCTGTTGTCATAGTAACGAAGCCTCATACCTGGCTGAGATGTTCGGTCCATTCTGGATGGTCAAAGTTTATCGTTACGAGTTCCAGAAGGCGTCATGTTGCTTCTGCTGCCCCCCTCAGGAGAATGAAGGTGGGACTGCAGTTTCATGGTTTCTATGTGTTTTTATATACAGCAGTAGTAATAATAGTTAGTGGGGGTGGGACTTGGCAAAAATGAGGACGATGTGATATTATCGCGATATTTGGGCCGATATATTGCGATGTATGTCCCTTATACTATTGAAAGGGGGCGACAGTGGTTCAGTTGGCAGAGCATTGGCCTTAAGGGCCTGAAGGTTTTGGGTTCGAGCCCACCGCAAGACCTGCTTCACGACTTTCACTGATGTCGTTGTGTCCTTGGGCAAGAACCCCACTTTGTATGAAGCCTCCGCTGAAAGATCAAGGCTCCTGTGGACTCACCACCTGCAGGAGGATCAGTGTGGGGCTGGTGTGTACTGGGTGCAGCTCTGACTGCCACCCCCCCCGATCCAGAAATGGATCAAGGGGAAGAAAATGGATGGATGGCTTATTCAAAGGCAATGCAAACATTTTTTAAACTCAATTTCCTTTATTTTGGTCTGCATATTAACTGAAGCAAAAACTTGATCCTTGAACATCCTCAGTACACAGGACCTTATTACAGGACGTAATTATTCTCTATTAGACGACTCTCTCATAAATGGTGAGCTCCCAGCACATAACTTAGATTATTCAAATACAATAGCAAGAGTCGCAAAAAGCAGACATAAAAGAGTAACATAAACTTCAGATATTGAAGAACAGAATCATTTTTTTACATAACAAAACCCTATGACTAAACATGATGACTAAACATGTAATGATGATATTTGACGTGTTGTTCACAGAGGAGGTGGTGTTCGAGGAGGAGTCTCGTTCTGTTCAGGCTGTTCTGCAGAATGAAACACGCAGACTCAGTTACAGCTACAGTTTTTTTCACTTTGGATTTTTCCTGGCGTCGCTCTACGTCATGATGACTCTCACCAACTGGTTCAGGTGTGTTTCTGTGTTTGTTTTCTTTGTTTTGTGTTCATTGTTTACATATGTGGTTGTGTGCAGCTATGAGTCTGCGGTGCTGGAGACCACCTTCACCCACGGGAGCTGGTCCACGTTTTGGGTGAAGCTGTCATCTTGTTGGGCCTGCGTGGTGCTGTATCTCTGGCTCCTCTTGGCTCCTCTGTGCAGCTGTCAATCATCCAAGACCCGCCCCCGACGAGCACGGATCAAGCGACGGAGCGATCGTCATGTGTCTGTCAGTGTTTAGCACAAAACGCTCACATGGAAAGCTTCAAAGCCGCTTCCCTGAGTCCAGACACCGGCCCTTTGCGAGAGGTACGGACACAAAGGGCTGAGCTTTGTGCCTCGCCCAGATCCTCGCACTTCTGTCCAAAGGTGTTCACAGAAGACAAAAATAAACAGGACATTGTTGTTCCCGACTCTCTTGGTGTGAGCCTAGTGCTCAGATGTGCTCAGGGGAAGCACTCACAAAGCAGAGGCCCCTGAGTGCCGGCTGTGAGCACAGAGGCCGTTTGTGCCCTTTACTTTTTTTAACTTTCAAGTAAAGACAGTATGAAAATGTGACAGCAATGATCACAGACTTAGTATTATTTTACAGATGATAAAACATGCTGTTATTTTTAACTTGAACCTCTGACATTCAGAGGTAAAATAGATTGTATTGCATTCATTAAAAGGGAGTTTTATTATTTTATGCTCAGGGCCAAGGTTTAAATTTGTGTGAATCCTCGTCTGAAGTGGGAGTGTTTCAACCCTGCTGCTCTGCCAGGGTTAGGGTTCATTTCCTGCTTGTTTAAGGGTATATCATTCAGGTTCACTGTCCATCTGTACATTGAGTTCTGAAACCAATAGATGAGTAGATAAAACATTTCAGACTTGATCCTGCTGCATTTCTCAGCAGTCACATCATCAGTAAAAACAAGGGAATCTGTGGTTGACCTCTGATCACATCCAAATGAATATAACCTTAAACTGCTCTTGAGCTAACCCTCACCAGAGGAGGCCAGTCACTGCATAATTGGACTTTACCTGAAGGTATATAGGAGGATTTTCCTGAACTTTAGGAAAGAACCATCCTCTCTTTTTGAGAAAATACACATGGCTTTACGTGCTTTCGAGAGGGAACTCCTACTAAAATGTGTGCAGCAGACGTGCACGAGCCCAGTTCTCCTCGTGCACGTTATAAGTCACTGTCGGCATCGCTCACATAAGCTCACTTTCCAAGAAGATTTGCACTTTTTCCACTATGTCAGACAATATAGACTAAGAGAACTATTACTGGGAGTGATTTGAACTGTATTTCTCCAAATAAAAGCCAAACTTAACCTCTCGAAGCTATCGTGGAAAACTCAACCTGGGCCTTCAGTGCACGCCATCGTGTGAAAGAATCCCCCAAAACACTCAGCAGAATGATTGACAAATAGGACGACCAATCGTCTCAATGATCCACCCAGAAAAAAAACTCCTATATACCTTTAAGTTGTTTTCTTGGTATCAGTACTCTTTATTTTTCTATTTCTTTATTTTACTGTCAAATCCAAATATATCTGTACTTTCTGCTCATTTTAAAATGATTATTGTCATTAATTTGCAGAAGGCACCACGACATAAAACAATTGTTTGAATTTATTCACTTAGAAGCATGGCTAACCCCAAACGTTTTGTTTTTTATCATATTTTCTGCCAGTCTGAAACCTTTCTACAAAAGTATAATGTTGTTTAAAGTGGTTAAAAAGAAACGCAAAATATGTCTCAAATATATCGTATGTGAATTATTTAACAAACAAAATAGTTTACATTTTCACTTGAAAAAAGTTTGTACTTTCATACTTTTACATAATTAAGGAAATGATGTCAATCCTTTCCCAGAGTTGATTCTCCTTTTAGAAACTAGTATCTTTACTTTGACCTGAGTGTGGGGCTGGCACAGCGCCACCTGCAGCCTGACTGAGAGTCAGAGCCTCTGTGGAATTGACTTTGATGAATGATTTTTCCTGTGAAACTCTACTCTGGAGGTTTCCTGTAGAACAAATTGAATATATCTAGTTTTACTCTGTATTCATGAATAAACATATTTTATTTAATATATTTTTTGTCTCTACATTTGTTGATAGGTTCATGACATGTGTTTACTGACTGTAAACAGACAAGAAAGTAAAGTCCTAAACAAAAGTAGGAAATGGACATTTAATTGACACACAAATGATAATCTGAAAATTTAAAAAACAATTGCAAAGTGTTTATTCTGACATACAAACACTGAAAAACAATTTATTTGACATATTTCCATTGAAAAGGCTATATTTTAAATTTTAAACTTTTAAAAGCAGAAGAGTTGAAAGTGCTTCAGTCTCCACACAGCCTGGATCACACATAAAAGCCATAAAAGTTCTCAACACACAGGACAGGAAGTGCCTTATATGGACAAGGAAACAGCAGCGTGTCCATATTTGGGCAGCAGTTTAATTGAGCATTTTTCTCTCTGTTAAAGGAGCAACAGGATGAGGACTGAACTCCGAGCACACGATTCAGTCAAGAAGGAGATCAGGTTCAGACCCACTTTAGTCCTGGTTTAGTCCTGGTCTGAGCCATAGACTGTACATAGATGGACAATGCTACGTCACTATCACAATGAAATGCTCTTGGACAACAACACGCCTCCTATTGACTTATATGCAAATAAGTCCACGGTTTAATGTTCTCTGTGGTCCTAGTGTTTAAATTGTGATATCATTTTGGTGAATCCAGATATGAGCTGAGCTAAACTGACCAATTAAGTGTCTTGGGTTTCCATATTTGACTTTAGCTAGCAAGTAGCCCTAGCGCGGGAAAGACCGGTGCTCTTGTTTTCTCAGTCGTTGCTACCAAACAAATTTGCACACATTTGGATCCAGATTCCCGCTCAAATAGCCAGTTTGAGTTAGCTCTAATCAGTTTCTTCGGCAAAAAGACACTATGCGTGACATCAGCACTCGGTCAGTCCCCTCCAGCAACTTGTGCCGAACACGCAGGCCCCTAGTGGACAAACAATTTTTAATATCACTGCGGAACCCACTGAGAGTCTAGGCTAAACTGGTATATTATACATCGTTTTAAACATACTTTCAATCTAGAAAACATGTACGGTATTTATTCGACCATAAACAGTGAACCCTGAATGCAATAAGCAATAACTCGAAGTAAACATGAATACAGTAAATCCAGTCAACAATAAAGTCTCATTTCAAACAATGCAGCTGGACTTGTTTTGTTCATAGAAGTATTTAAAAATTATATCAAACTCATATTCAATAAAAGTCATTATTTGGTCAAAATACCTTCATGATTATAAAAAGTCACGGACACAAACAATGAGCGTTCTACAAACGCTTGATGCTTGGTTTTTCTGTTTGGGCTCGTAGAACAGAGACACAAACATTGACTTTCTCTACTGCTAATGTGAAAGAATGAGAAGATGCAGAGTTTGAAATGTAGCGGTACATTATATTCATCCAGGAGCTAACCTGCGTGTGCAAAGTAAAGAAGCGTGTGCAATTTCAGTGGTTTGATTCTGTCACTGCGTGTGCATAGATCCATTCGCTCCAATGTTCATATATTTTGCACACACACAAACACGTGATAAATATACCCCTTACGCTTCACCCAGACTCGAACTCACGCGGCCCCGGATAAATTGAGACCCCTGCTCTCAAGCATCTGAGACAGATATAAAGTGTCACCATAGTTACATGCATGGCGAGCGTGGAGCTGTGGCCTTACATGTCATCTCCTCTGCTTGTATAGAATTGTCTTTAAAACATTACAAGCAGCAGGCGAGCTCTTCTCCAGGGTTAATATGGCTAATGTATACAGCGTTTGTGTCTTTATAGTCTGACAGTTGCTGTAATCTTAATGTGTTGCTTGTCTCTTGATATTTCCTCCACGTTCCTCGACCTGTACCTTCTCAGATACATGTATAAATCCCTGGTGCAGTGGTCATAGCTTCAGTCTCTGTTTCCACACGTGCTCTGCAGCCTCCGCAGCTGTGCGTCCTCCTTGGGCCTGTACAGGGTGCAGTAGCTGCTGGGCTCCACTAGGAGGCGGTTCAGTGTGTTCTCATGGTTGACGTGGAGTCTGATCATTAAGATGTACTGTCGGCCTGTGACCAGCAGAGGGCAGCACTGGTCCTGAGCCCACACAAATTCCCGAGGCAACAGAGGAAAACGGTTTCTGTACGACTCCAAGATCTGCACCTCGAACCGGGTCTCAGAGCCCAGTAACCGGACCGACCTCACCAGTGCCCGGACCACTGTGACAGAGATACTGGTTATAGGCTGGATCTACAGAGCCAAAGACCAGCCAAGAGTTCTCATTAAATATATACATGAAAAACCTGGAATCTACATAAGCAACATACAATCTGGCATATTTGGCCCAGAAGGCATTATGATACAGTGCCTTCAAGTGGCTTTGTGCTGATTAAACTGTCCAGTTAAACAGAACCAAATGTAACTTGCAATGTTGTGCTATAATTCACGTTAAAAGGACGGACGCGCACAAACATTTGAACTTTTAAATCCGTGACGTAGTCATGGTAGATGCACAGAGTTGCATCTACTATGAATATTTAAAATCCGATATTCAGTGGTCAGCCCTGCGGCCGTTCGGTGCAATATGGAGACTCGTGAGTTTCTGTTTACTTGGGTCTCAGTTATAGAACTATAGAGAGTGCTCGTCCCCCTATTAAGAGACAGCCTCTCAAAGAGACAAAGACAGTATCCCAAAAAGAAAAAGACAGTATCCCAAAGAGACAAAGACAGTATCCCAAAGAGAGAAAGAGAGTATCCCGAACAGATAAGAACAAACCAAAGTCTTTGGAGCAGAACTGCAGCCGTCGCTGTCTGCGTCCTCTCACACTGGGACACGGCATACAGCGCTCTGAAACAAATCAATGAGTGAAAAAGCACAGGTCTATCAGGAGTGACTGTGTTTACATGGACGCAACACATGTCTATTGTGTGTACTTTGTGCAAGTAGTCATTTAAAAAACGTTATGTATATTTTTTTATTCTTGCAATCATTTCTCTTTTTTTACCTCCTGGCTTCTTACTCACAGTGGAACTACAAATAATTCTTATTTTAAGATAATAGGAGCACTGTCCTTGTTTTATTGAAATGAATGGATGAGGTGTCACAGTCCAGTTACTCAAATGGTTCCCCTTCCACCATTTGGAGGGAGGGGAAAGCTACAAGACCTCTGTGAGCGTGTCATGTATGGAGCTGCATGTATAATGAGCCAGGAGAGGTCTGAGTGGTTGTGTTAGCTAGTCATTCTCTGCCCATATAAACGCAGCAAGCGAGGCTCTTACTGTGGTCCAGGACTTGGTCCAGGTTGAGATCTGGTTCAGGCCAAGTCTTGAGCCGAAGTGGCGACGTCTGATGTTTAGACACTGCAACAAACAGAGACATGAGCCACACTAGAGAGTGAGACGATATACAGTACCTTTGTCCCAATAGGCCTGGAGCAGTATTTACTACAATTCAAATGTTGCATGATTGGATGATTGTGATACTTGACCTTAGGAGGAGAGTGTATTATTGTTGGCCATTACAATGATAGAGACTATTTACCTTCTTAATGTCCTAAGTAGTATGGTGAAACAACAAGTCATAAGCAGAAAACTGCTCTGAGTGTGATGTCATACTGGTAGAATGACATCATAGTGTTACAGGACTGAGACAGGAGCTTTAGACAGAATGGGGGTCACTTGTTTGTGGAATATGTACTTGATGTTAGCATTACTACAGGTAAATGTTTTGTTAGGTAATGTGTTGCAACATGTTAAAAGCTCAAAAACCTTGTTATTGTCTCCTTTAATATCACTAATTTTTTCAATAGTAAGTTTTTCACAATACTGATGTTTAATACTAATGAGTTATGATGACATGCAGCCATGTTTAACTGTGTGTATGTGTGTGTGTGTGTGTTAGTGTATCAATGTACAAACACACGTATGTGTATTCATGTGTCTGTAGTGTATGTGGATGTGTGTGTCTGTGTGTGTGATTCTCACGCCGGTTGACGCGGCGCTGTGGTCGCAGGGCGGTGACGGCTCTGGTTGTTTTCGCCGTGGAGACTGATGCGGGCTTCTCTGTGGCGTGTAGAGTGTTACCTAACGTCTCTGTGCGGGAGCCCGGTCCTGACGTCTCCACAGAGATGGAGATTGTGCGGGGGGCGTGGCCTAATGGACTCTTAGGACCATGAAACAGGAAGTGCTGCTCTGGAGGAAGCCAATATTCAACTGAGATAGAAGAGCCAACGTCTGTCGATAAAACCTAGAAAACAACATCAAGACACGCTTTATTATGTGTCATTTAAAATGTAATACATATTCTAAAGTATGCTTAAAGAAGCTATACCCAATTGTTTTCTAATTAGTTCATAAAAATGCTTAATTTATTTCCGTAATTTAATTGAAAACTTGAGCGTATTGATTCAGCTTGTGTATGAATTCAGGCCGTATAAAAGTGCTGAGTAGAGACTTAGCGGGACACTCGCTAAAGGACACCGTGCTAGGACCGGTCTGTCTGCTGCAGGAGGAGGTGGACCGGCTGGTGTCCTGGTGTCTGCTGCAGGAGGAGGTGGACCGGCTGGTGTCCTGGTGTCTGCAGCAGGAGGAGGTGGACCGGCTGGTGTCATTGGTAAAAACCTGGAGCTGAACGCCCAGAAAACAGTTGTGATGATTGTGGACTTCAGAAAGACCACACCCCTCACCCTGCAGATGGACAATTCCAACCACTCCCCTCAGGCAAGAGGATACGGTCCACCCGCACCAGACTCAGGTCTTTTGGAGTGCAGAGGCCACTCCTGAAGACCTTCTATGACTCTGTAGTGGCATCAGCCTCTTGTATGGTGTGGTCTTCTGGAGCAGGAAGAAGCTGGAACATCAGGAAGTCCTGGGCTGTTCCCTGGACACAGTGCAGCAGGTGGGGGACAGGAGGGTCCTGGACAAACTAACATCGATGTGGACCATGACTGTCACCCCCTGCAGGACACTCTCTCTGCTCTGGAGAGTAGCCTCAGTGACAGACTTATTCACCCTCACTGTGTGAAGGAAAGGTCCTGCAGGTCTTTCCTTTCTGCTGCTGTCAGACTGTACAATGAGAACTTCTGAGCCTGTAAATGTCATTCATCTGTAAATAACGAAATACTGCAATCATGTGCAATCCTGCAACTTCAAAATGTCACTGACCGATGTCACTTTACTTTATCTACTTATAAACCTGGCCTATATGTACAGTAATTTTTATTTTTTTTAAAGACTTCTATTGAAGCATTTACAGCTAGCTATGACACAAAGCTACTACTTATTTTGTATATTTTGTGTGCTGCCTGTGTGCTCTTACTACTGTCCTGTCTGTGCGCTGCAACATATACATTTCCCCACTGTGGGACGAATAAAGGATCTCTTATCTTATCTTAAGAACAGTTTCTTCCACTCTGCAGTCGAGATTCATAACCCATCGCTGACCTCTGCCCTTTAGCGTCACCTTTTACTACTGTCACTTTGCTGCACCGTTAAATGTCTATTGTGTGTATTTTGTGCACATATAGTAGTAATTTCAAGAAAGATTGTGTACTTATTTGCACATTGAGCCAATGCAAATTCCTAGTTTGTTACTTCCTGTTATTTACAATGGCAATAAAAAAAAGATCGCTCTAATCTAGATGATGTCTTAGACGGTTTTGTTATGTACTTGTGCAAAGTGAGGTCCAGGTGTGTACCAGCAGGTGAAGGTCCTCTGTGGTGGGTCCCCTCAAGTGAAGACTCTCTGACTGCTGTGATCTCTCGTACAGGGCTGTGCTTCCTGCCGCCTTGTACTGTCCCGGGTCGTTGATGCTCCAGTCTCCATTAATCACCGACTCAGACTTACTGTTCTGCAAAACTGACACAAAAACAACCTTGACAAACTGTTTAATCTCATTAAGGAGGCAGTTTTTTTCATTACTCTTATACCCAATTCTGTGCAGGGAAAGGGAGGAAGAAGCAAAGAATTTCTCCCACGTAAAAGAGGAGCCACTTTCAACCAAACACCACCAATCAACCAAGATAATTGCCTAAGACACATTTCAAACCAAACTCTGCTGTGTGGAGAGGCTCTTCAGGTCATTCCTTCCTGCTGCTGTCAGACTGTACAATGAACAATGCCAACCTTAACTCACATGTCATGCAGCTGTTCAAAAATGTGCAATAATGTCAGAATGTGCAACATGGGACCAAATGTGTCCACTGTCACCAGAGCCTCTGCCAACATGTGCAGTAGTTTCAACCTCACGGTGAATATTTGAGTCTACAGAGCTATTATTTCTTCAATATTCTTCTTTTTAACATAAGACAGTTTCAAGTAACCCTGTTATCATACACACTCCCTCCATCACCCACATCACCCGTGTTCTACAACAGCCCCACTGGCTTCCCATCACCCTCTGCATTCAGTACAAAATCCTGCTTCTCACCTTCAAAGCCATCTACAATCTCGCCCTTCCATACCTCTCTGAGCTCCTCCACAGTACAGCTACCGGCTCTCTCCGCTCCTCTTCCTCCCTCTAGCTCCTAGTGCCTCCTGCTCACCTTGTCACCATAGGGAGCAGAGCAATCGGGCGCTCTGCTTCCCAGCTCTGGAACACCCTTCCCCTGACCTCCGTATCGCTGACACACTCCCACACTTTCCAACTGCACTGAAAACACATCTATTGAGACTGTTCACTAAGACCCTGCATTTCACTGTCCATTTTCAACTGTTTTTGCTTTCTTTTTTAAGCGACCTGGAGTGGCTAGATGGTGCCATATAAATAATTAACATTATTTAAAGCTGGAGGAGTGGCTAAATCAGATTCCTGTAACAACTTTGAAAATCTCTGTCCAGAAAAGCCCAGGGTTAGTAAAAGCAAAGATAAAGCACAAATCCTCAAGCTCCCTGGTTGAGAGAGGGATAGCCACTCATGGAAGGGTGAGAGCATCAGCAGTAGTAGTAACAGTAATAGTATGAGCCGCAGAAGAAGCAGTAGTAGTAGCAGCAGTAGTAGCAGCAGTAGTAGCAGCAGTAGTAGCAGCAGTAGCAGCAGCAGTAGTTGTAGTACTGACCGATGTAGTTGCTGCTGTTGTCTGTGACTCTGAGGTTAGTGGCTCCTGCAGGAATCTGTGCCACTTCAGAGTATCCCAGGACTGTGAACAAGGAAACAGCAGGGAGTTCAGACCTGGTCTAGACAGAGTTCAGACCTGGCCCATTCCTGGCTCAGTCCTGGCTAAGACCTGGCTCAGTCCTGGCTAAGTCCTGGCTCAAAGAGGGTTCATCCCAATTCATCCCGGGATTCCACATCCTTGATCTCCGCTCCAATCCGATCTGCCCTGTTTCAACTGCGACAGGTGGAGTAGGGCGAATACCACAAGTTTGTTCAAATGGAGGATGTGGAATCCCAGAGTCAATCCTGTTTCAGTCCTGCTTCTGTCCTGCTTCAGTCCTGCTTCAGTCCTTCTTCAGTCCTTCTTCAGTCCTGCTTCTGTCCTGCTTCAGTTTCATTTTCTTCCCTGCCGCAATCCCTTCTTTTCTCCTGCTTCAGTCCTGCTTCTACCCTAGTCCCTTTTTCTGTCCTGCTTCGGTCCTGCTTAAGTCCTGCTTTGGTCTTGCTTTGGTCCTGCTTTGATCTTGCTTTGGTCCTGCTTTGGTCCTGCTTCAGTCCTGCATCAGTCCCTATTTCAGTCCTGCTTCAGTCCTTCTTCAGTCCCGCTTCAGACCTGTAGGCTTGTGCTCTTGCTGGTGGTGCACACAGGTCTGGTTGCGTCCTCCACAGACCAAACAGGCGTCTTCAGACAGACCTGATCCCAGGACAAGGTCACAACCGGCAGCCTGAATATATAATTTAAAATTTATGTTTTCATACTTCACAAAACATGAGGCAGAGCTGTTTGTTGTGTTCATGCTCCAGGCCAACTTCAGCCCTGCAATAATGTCACATAATATCACCTGACAATTGTAACAGTTAAAAGCTAGATTTCTATAATATGTCTCATTTAAGTGTAGTGGTTCTGTTGGCACCTCCTACACTGTTTCCAGCCAGCTTCTCTTTCTTTGCTTTGATCATGATGTCATCTGTCTTAGAGAAAGTAACGACATTAAAACATTTAATGTAATTTATTGTAATAATGTAACTTATGCTAAGATTAGCATTAGGAACAATTACACTTTTGAAAGCAACACATAATTGGATTTGGCCCTAAATTGAATTTGAAATGGTTTCCGAAGCAAATAAGTGAGAAGTATAGAAACAGTACCAAAGAGCACCTGAGTCCAGCCTGTGAGTGTGACATCACCTCAGTCCTTAGTGTTGGAGAGGGCTCTTACTCACCAGGCAGCGCCCGTTGACACACTTTGATCCCGGGTCATTTCCACAAGATGTTCCGTCTAAAACTTTTCCAAAGTTTAAATAAAATTTGTGCCCAACAGCCAAACAGCTGAGCTCACAGAGACTGGAGCCTGCGAAGACAGAATCAGATCAAGTCCGAGGTCACTTTAGAAACCCTTATTTTCCTCATTTATAAGATAACCTTTTTTTCTGGAGTAAATGTAACTATCACGGCACACATTATAGAACAGTGGGAATAAACAAAATCACTCAAAACAAGATAAAGAGCTGTACATATTTATAAAATAACTGAACTAAAGAATTTAGGGAAAAGTAGACTTTCAATGCCCATCGAAATAAGTGGATTTATAGAAAATTGCTGGATTTCAAAAGAAAATAAATCAGACAAGGAACAGTCAAATGGTTTCTGAACTCAACCCATTAAGAAAAGGTTCCATGACAGCTGAGGAGTGAGCCGTCAGTGTTAACATCGAGGTCTATAGGAAAATGCCCTGGGTCTCCCTGGTGAATTAAGTCTGCAGTAGCATGGGTGGTCCATCACCATGCCCAGAACCAGTTTAACTAGCAAGACCCTTTCCAGACAATATAATACTGCATACTATATCCTCTGCTGTTGCAGTCTTAATAATTTGCTGATATTTGGCAAAACATTCTCTGTGAATTCCAAGAGATGTGCAACTTGTCCTTTTTCCCATTTGCTACACACCTGCAGCTGCATCCGACCACATGTGTGGACTCATTGAGCCAATGCACTTACACCCATCAGCAACGACGTGTCCAAAATACAGTTGAAAGCTCCTTTGCATTCACTGCACTCAGTGGCAGGCCATGCATTTCAGACCTGCGCCTGCAGTGATGCCACTCTTTGAATGAATCCACCCTTTAACACTAATTATGATCCCAGGGCTCTACACCGTGTGCATTTAGACCAAACCAAGCGTTGCATCACAATAGAGTAGTATTAGTCATCTGAGTTTATTCACTTCACCAACAGCGTGTTCACAAAACAGCGCAGAGGGCACTGTGAAATCAAATCGACTCGTCGCATCCAGCGTCACAGATGCATGATTATACATCATTTGCAAAGCTTCTCGGAGCCTGCAGACATAAGTACCGGTCGTAGTGGTGAATAAATCCTTTCCCCTGCTCGGGTCGGGCTAGTCTTTCTTAACAAAAGAAAAGTTTTGCTTGAGAATGACACAGTAGTCAAGTTTAGAGTGTCGATTCTGTTCACCCTCCATGGTGAGAACCGAAACTGACAATAAATAGATATGTTTTGACATAAATGTTGTCTGTTTTACACCACCAGTGGGTTTGGACCCTAACAAAATATAAAATTCCAGGATCATAGAGAGCCCTAAACCGTTGATCTAGAAGCCCAAAGGGATGCATGTGATACTTACGGTTTCTTTTTTTTCAGTGCCAGTGAAGAAACAATGACTCTTAAAAACTGTTGAAACAATCACATGAGATGGTAAAATCAACATCACATACTCACAAAGACCAAACCCATGTTTGGAGACATTAGAGTCAAGGAGTCAAATGGATTACTTCCTTTTTTGTTTTGGCAATCTTTGGCCTGAGCCTTTCACGGTATGGCTCTTGCCGCTTATATAAGTAAGCAGAATCTTGGGCATCTTCATAGGGGAGTATTTGTTTTTAATCCGCTCAGCGTTCTCCTGGGTCTTGCTCTGGGACTATGTCCTTATCTGTTTTTCCTAAGTTGAACATTCGGGTCTGGGACCTGCACCCAATAGCTGTTGACACACCGTTTCCAGCGTGGGAAGAGATTGGACGGCGGTGGGGGTTGACCGTCATAGGAGTTGATTTATTTCCTGTGCCTTCTGGAACCTTTGGTACAACGCATAAAAGCGTTCCTGTGCATTGAGGGTGTGACACATGAACTGTGCCACACTCTCTCGGGTATTTTTGTCTGCATTCTGTTCAAATATAAACGTAGACACCGCCGTCCGAATATCCAAAAAGTCAGGCTCGCCCTTGAGCCCCATCTCCTTCCAGGCTCGGAACATGTCGCATTTCAGGTCCTTCACGATCCCTGTGCCAGTGTTGGAGAAGAAGTAGGGTGTTTTGGTTTGCTGCGGTTTAGCAGAGGAAGCAATTTCCGGCACCAGCTGTGCTCCTCCTTGTCCAGTTATATTTGCGCCACACCATATTAATGGCTTGTCTTGTGATTAGTGACATTTATGAGATGGCCGGACTCTTCTGTTCCCTGGGCCTCCTCTACCTCCCTGACCCAGTGGTTGGTATATACACAGGACCTGTGGCCGTATATTGAGGCAAGGTAGGCAGTGAGGTACCCCAGAAGCCGGAACCAGGCCCCACAATCCTCCACTAGCGCGGCCTCCACCTCAACCAGGATGGAGGGCATGATCTCCCGGCCCAGTTCAATGCATTGCGCCAGGTCCTCCCTCGGAATCAGCCGGTACAGTTTCTTTGCTTTAATTGCCTGCTGATGGACGCTAACTCCCCGACTGAAATCGCGGGCCAGTTTACCTACCTCGTGGTAAATTAGCCTGACACGCAGCATCGTAATACGACTTTGCCAAATCTCAAAAAGTAATCGAGAAAGGCCTTGGTGTGTGCCAGAAACATTACAATGGTTCATTACCCATAGCATCCAGGACTCCAGGAAATATTCTGTCTTGCAGCAGCCAGATTTACCAAGATTTAAAGACGGTATGTTTAATCAGCAAAGAAAGTGCCCCGCAATGACCACTGACATAAATTTAGACTGGACAATTGGCAACGGTTAACAATAATGTGTTACTATGATCAAGAAGGAAGGAAAGGGCATTTACATACGCATACTTCTAATGAATAGATCAGAGAAAATCTACAACATGTATGGACATTTATCAACATTCATGAACATTGGTCTCTGCCTATGGACCAATACATAGGTGTTTTGTATATTTTGTGTCTTAACTGTTGATTCTATGATCTGTGCTGGTGGTTTCTATGGTTTTGTTAAGTCCTCTGAGATGACTGCTGTTGTGATTTCGGGCTATACAAGAAAACATTGTATTGTATCTGGAAGAACACAGACAGGCTCCAAGTCTGTCATAGCGGCTAATCTAAAACTACTGAGTGCACCTCTGACCCCGCTGTTTCTGACCCCCTGAACCATGTCTCTGATTGGACTGTGAGGAAAAGCGCTAAGGTGGGAATCTGACTCACCGCTGTGGAAGGGCATCCAGGTGAAGGAGGAGCCTGACAGCAGAGGCCTGTGGTTAAAGGCCTGACACTGAAGCTCTCTGAAGTCCAGTGCTGTTAGTGGACAGGGCTGAACAGACACAACACATTTGTCAGAAAAAGTGTACAAGAAGTATTCAACCAGTCCAATACGCTGATTGGCAGTGTTGGGCACGTTACTTTGAAAAAGTAATTAGTTATAGTTACTAGTTACTTCTCCCAAAAAGTAACTGAGTTACTAACGGAGTTACTCCACTATAAAAGTAACTAGTTACCAGTAAAAGTAACTATTGCGTTACTTTTTCGTTTTGTTCTGGAACATAATGTGCACTCGACGTGCACATGTTGACCTTTAACATCAGTGAGTTTGAAATAGTGCCAATATTTCCATCTAGAAAAGTCTGTTTTGCTGCTGAAGTCCTGTTCACTCTTCATCTCTCTCTGTGCTGTAAGCACTAAACACCAACACGCTCCACTGTGAATGTGGAAACACCGGTGAGCACTGACTTCAGACCAATCAGATGGACATATTTATCATATAAATCAAGAGGACAATTTGTTTGGCTACAGCAAAATATGTTTCATGGCCGCATTGTTTGTTCATACAAAACGCAAAACTATGAGTTATGGGTCTTACCTTATAAATGACCTGCACAGACCACTTCAGTTCAGACCAGTTCTGTGTTTAAGTCCAGATAATAGTTTGAGCGTAGATATGTAATCCTCTATTTGGAAATTAGTTTTAAAAAGTAAAACAAAACGCGTGTGTCCTCCGTAAACTACTCTGTTTTGCTAGGTGCAGCCGGGTGCATCCAATTTCTAAAATCAACCGTCTTACACTTCACCTCTCTTTCTTATCATTCCTATAGTAATTGAAAAATTACCGTAAGTGCATTTTAAATTATCTTAAAATGTGTTATATGTATGTTAGCCAAACTTGTTGCAGCCCTTAGCAGATAAACCAGGAGGAGAAAGGAGCTTTCTGATGGAATTGTATGCAGCCGACTTCTGCGCTCACATGCGCTCCTCTGAGCCCTCACGGTGATACAAGCTGTGGTTGAGCGCGACTAAGACCCATATTTGTTTCAAAAACACAATTTATGACCATCCTCTCAACTGTAGACATGTAGATTGTAAAGGAAATATGTTTTACATCAGCCAATAATTGCTGAGAGGTTTTCTCATCCTCCCTTCTCTCATGACAACACGCGCACGAGTCCTATCACGAAGTAAAAAGAGAAGTTCATTGTGCGTCTTTAGTAACGCGCAGTAACGGGATGTCGGAAATGATAACGGCGTTATAGTTACAGTCAAAGTAATTAGTTAGATTACTCGTTACTGAAAAAAGTAACGGCGTTAGTAACGCCGTTACTAGTAATGCCGTTATTCCCATCACTGCTGATTGGTAAATGCAACCAACAGTATTTAGATCTGGCTACAGTTTAATCACTGAGCAGTAGCAGGTAGTATCAGTAGTAGCGATAGTAGCCGTAGCAGTAGTATTAGCAGTAGTAGCATTTGTAGCAGTAACAGGTAGTAGCAGTAGTAGCAGTAGCAGTACCTTGGTGTTGCAGAGCTTGTACTGCCGTGAGTCTCCTGAGCAGGGACGGGCGACTAGGCTCCTGTCAAATACACGTCATGAGTAGCAGACACCACAGCGCGACGGACAAGACAGTGACCGGATCAGAGCGCTCACCTGGTGACACAGGTGCGCACTCGCACTGAAGCCCCGCCCCCACAGCTCCGCGAGCACACTGACCACACCCCCCACGCCCCCCACTCGTTCAGCGATCCGGGACGAGACCAGTGCTGGAGCGCCGCAGAACCAGTGCGACCCGAGGACACCTGCAACACACACATTGTTCCTCATGAAAGCAGACAGATGTTTACCTCTATACACACTGATATCAGCACCTTCCCCCTCCCCTTCTGTCAAAATGTTCTGTTTTAAAACTTGTTATGCTGCGACAAAATCCTCAAAAAATGAGAAAATCTTTGCCTCCAAATTGCCACAAAATTACATTATTTTTTTTACAAATACAATACACTTGGCTCTTACAATTTCCCACATCTACGACTATTTCGATCTTTAAAAACTTGATGAAGATTACATTAGAATATTTGTTGTCAAGATGCATGAATAAACACCAGAAGACTTAGATTGAGTACCAATGTATTGATAAGCTTTGACGATTAGACCCCGGCAGGAATACTGTGTGACATATGCGGAGGGGAGTTTAATAGAAATGATGAGCTTGTGACCCCGGGGCCTAGAACCGGGTGGCGACGGTGATGGGGAGGTTAAATGCAGCCATGAAGTGATGATGAGCACAGGTGTGTTACTGAGCAGCTGAGGCTTATTATTATTATTATTCATTATTATTATCATTATTATTAAAGGAATAGTTCACCGTTTTTACATACTGACATATGTTCTTACCTTACCTTAGACTAGTTAATACGTACCTGTCTGGTCTTAGTCCGTGCGCTCTGTCATGCAAACGGAGCAAAAACGGGAGCACAAATGCAGCCTCCTCTGTATACTGTATAGGACCCAAAAGGTAGCTCCCGCTAGAAGCTACCAAACTCTTCCAAGTGTTCCCTATTAAATGTATATAGTTACGTGACGTGTTACACTGCAAAGTATAGTAACACAGAAATGTAACAGTCGATTTTCTCAGCGGATAAAACGGGTACTATATTGTGAGGCGTAGTAATCTGAGGTGCGCTACGTCCGCGCACTAACTTCTCTCCGGAGACTTCTCTCTCGCTCACTTCCGTCAATAGAAGCAGCGTGAATTGTAGTGCACACAGTAGCAGCGAGAGAGAAGTCTCCGGAGAGAAGTTAGTGCGCGGACGTAGCGCTCCTAACTTCTCTGCGCACTAACTTCTCTCCGGAGACTTCTCTCTCGCTGCTACTGTGTGCACTACAAGTCACGCTGCTTCTATTGACGGAAGTGAGCGAGAGAGAAGTCTCCGGAGAGAAGTTAGTGCGCGGACGTAGCGCTACTCAGATTACTACGCCTCACAATATAGTACCCGTTTTATCCGCTGAGAAAATCGACAGTTACATTTCTGTGTTACTATACTTTGCAGTGTAACACGTCACGTAACTATATACATTTAATAGGGAACACTTGGAAGAGTTTGGTAGCTTCTAGCGGGAGCTACCTTTTGGTGCTACAAAATATACAGAGGAGGCTGCATTTGTGCTCCCGTTTTTGCTCCGTTTGCATGACAGAGCGCACGGACTAAGACCAGACAGGTACGTATTAACTAGTCTAAGGTAAGGTAAGAACATATGTCAGTATGTAAAAACGGTGAACTATTCCTTTAATGTTGAGCTCAGGTGCAGGAGCGTAGAGGGAGGAGATCAGTGTAGCGGGACGAGCCAGTGTGGCAGCATAACATCCCTTTGGTCTTCCAGTCTGAGTAATTACTGCATTTTTCATATGTTTCCAAATATTTCATTTTTTCATCAGGGAATATAAATAATTAATATGGTCTATTTTTGTCTAATCGTCTTCTACAACCTGGCCTGGTTTTCTCATAACCCTGTATGACTGTCCACCAAGATGGTCTTCTAATGCTTTCATTCTGTCATGTTTTTGTCAGCTTTTCTAAGTAGCTGTGGTGTTAGGTGACAAAACTGTACATTAGTTTTGAGTGCACTACACTTTCACTGCCAGGACTTCAGATACAGTGCCATGCCATGTGCCCAAGGAGAAAATGGTGGAACATTTGGTGCAACAGCCTTGTTTCCATAGTTACGTTGAGAATAACAGCATCTCATTGAAGTTCCACTTAGTTCGGATCAAACCGGATTATAGAGGATTAGAGTCAGATTTTTGACTTCTATCCAGGACTGAGATTAGGTTCAGGACAGCACTGAGAGTATTGAGATCATAACTGGTCCTAAAGAGGTCTTACCGGTGAGGTCAGCACCACTGATGTGAGGGTGAGAACCAGGGAGAGGTCCAAAGTCATTCTCCTGCAACACACAACAGTCACACTGAAACTGGCTTTAAGCAGGTCTAAGTTACGGCTAAAGCAAGACTAGTGCGGGACTACATCAGGACTAGAGCAGAACTAAAACAGGTCTAAGGCAGAGAAGGACAAAAGCAGGACAAAGCAGGTGTAAAGAAGGTCTACAGGTCTAAAGCAGGTCTAATACAGACTAAAGCAGGACAATATAGAAAGTTTTACCACTTTTTCTAAGACAAAGCAGATCTAAAGAAGGTCTGAGGCAGGTCTAATACAGGTCTAAAGCAGGTCTAATATATGACTAGAGGTCAAATGCAGGTGGTCTAAAGCAGGTCTAAAGATGGTCTACTGCAGGTCTAATGCAGGACTAAATTAGGTCTAACACAGGACTAAAGGAGGTCTAAAGCAGGTCTAATACAGGACTAAACAAGGTCTTAAGCAGATCTAAAGCAGGTCTAATGCAGGACAAAATTAGGTCTAACACAAGACTAAAGGAGGTCTAAAGCAGGTCTAATACAGGACTAAAGGAGGTCTAAAGCATGTCTAATACGGGACTAAACAAGGTCTTAAGCAGATCTAAAGCAGGTCTAATGCAGGACTAAAGGAGGTCTAAAGCATGTCTAATACGGGACTAAACAAGGTCTTAAGCAGATCTAAAGCAGGTCTAATACGGGACTAAACAAGGTCTTAAGCAGATCTAAAGCAGGTCTAATGCAGGACTAAAGGAGGTCTAAAGCATGTCTAATACGGGACTAAACAAGGTCTTAAGCAGATCTAAAGCAGGTCTAATACAGGACTAAACGAGGTCTAAAGCATGACGAAAACAGGTCTAAAGGCGGAGGATTCTTCTTAAAAAACAGGAAGCTCATTTATTTGTCGCTCCAGGACAAAAACAAATCTGGTTTCGATCAAGGTGCAAAACAAGATTAGGGTTTGGACACGAACCAGGGTTTGGACACGAACCAGGACGTAGACCAGGACCAGACGTAAAGTCACAAAATAGAAACCATCGCTCACAGCCGCATTAAGATTCTAGCTGAATCTTTGAGCATCATATAAATCTGTGAATTATGTAAAATGATCTCAGACATGCGTCATTCTCGTTGACTCTTTAGTGGATCTGTGTAAATAAGACATATGCTGCATCCTGTACACACATTTTGATTTTAAAAACTTTTATTTTCCTTTAACACCAGAACTCCCAGGGCAGTCCATTTGACGGCTGTTAGTTTTGGAAATTAACTGACTCAGTATATGTTATTTTTTGTTTTTCCTAACTTCCTGACTTTTTCTGTTTCTATATGTGTCATTATTTTTACGAGGTATTTTTCATCTTCATCTTTCATCTTCATAACGTTGCTTTTGCTCTATGGCAGTTAAAGCCTTTTTTATAGTATGGGTCCTGGATTGGTTCTGGTTCTGGTTATGAGCTGATCTTGGTTATACACACATATGGTTATACAGTTGTTGCTAGTTACCATGGCAACACACTGTTTACTAGCCACAGTTTGCATTCCCACAGACTTTTTACTGTATTTCAAGCTATATTAATCCACTCAATCCAATCCACTTGTATAGGACATTGCATATAATATGTTTCCAAAGTGCTGCACAAAGATAAAAGTAACACATTAAATAAAATGTATAAAAAATAATAATAAACAAAGAGAATAAGTAAAATATTAATCAGTTTCAGCACTTAGAAAAAGTAAGTAAAAGTGAAATCCTTATAACTGACTGTCCAAAAAAACAAAACAATTTGGGGGGAATTTATCAGCTTTCCATTGGTTTGAGTGGGAGCAGTCAAAACGACGGCTCTGGGAGGTCAAGTAGTTTCATAATTCTGGTAGTCCTGGTGGTAAATGAGGCCACATGTTGCTCCTGACAGAACTGGTCTCTGTCTCACAGGACTTTTGGAGATTTGCCCCGAGTTCAGTGGAAGAGCAGGACTTATGGATTTCCACACAAGCGTGGCTGGACTCTGGAATAAATAACTCATCATAATGTTCGTTCTTTGTGATGCATTTTATAAAGTGCTCCAGTTCTTCTCTGCAGCAAAACATCCCCACAACAGGAGACCCCCCCCACCCCCCACCCCCCACCTCCCACTTCTTTGAGCTTACAAGCCTCCCCTTTTCTTTTTTCCCCCAAACACTTCCATTGTACACCTCAGCACGACCGTAACCAGGCTCTTTGTGAGAAGGAGCTTCTTCTGTTCCACTGGGCACGATTTCGGAATTTGGTTCAAAATCGTCCATAACATTTTTTGAGATATTGTTGTTGTTTGTCGCTAACAGACAAACAACAAACAAAACACTGGTGATCACTTTACCTCCGGGGCTGAGGTAATGAGATGTACACATCATAATTGTTTTATCTATTCTATTTTTTATATATATAATGCTGGCAAACCTGTATATTAAAATATGTCACTTTTATATCTGAGCAGCACGTTGGAAACTATTGTTTTAAAAGGGAATTGGATTGGATTGGATAAGATAAGACATTCCTTCATTCGTCCCACAGTGAGGATATGTCAGTGATTATGGCCTTGATTTTGTTCATAATAATCATGGCCAAAGACGTTTCACTCTGTACACAGTGGTAACACCTAATACTGTAGCTACAGCTGTCCTGGGACAGACAACAGTGAGGCACAAAATCTGTGACACAACCAAACACTAACTGAAGTGTTCAATTCTCTGCCATAAAACTGTTGAACTCTGGTGGAGGTGTTTGAATTGCTGTATATTGCGGTGTTTTTCAAGCACTGTGCCACAATATGATATTGTCCAGTGTGCCGTGAGAAAAAAGACCCATAAAACTCATTGTAAACTAAAACAACTCGACCTCAGCTGACAGAGAATCTACAGCTTTCATAAAGATCGGATTTTATGGGGATTTTAGTGTCCCTTGTCATCCTGAACTTTTTATCTTCTTAAAGAGTGACTAACCACCTGTGCCCAGCCTTACTCCGCCCACATGAACATTTGAACATTTTCTCTAAAAAGGGCGTTGCCTGGAGGACCAATTGGGGACAAGAAGGGGGGCTTAGAGTTGGGCGTGGTCTGGGCTGTGATTGACCGCTCACACACAAAAAAAAAACAGTTGTCATTGCTGCTTAAAGCAATAGTTTACACACCAGAAAGTCTCATTCCACACTTGTTTACACACTACAATAATTGTGGAGCTACACATCTGAACCTAAGCCACAGCATTATCTCAGCAGCAGTGGTTTGTGTGAGAGTTGGATGGGTTTATATCACTGGCTCAGACAAACGCACGTCAAACACACAAACTGACGTCACACAGAATTACAGAGTCATTGAAGAGGCCAGGACCAAATTCAAATGTAGTACCACCGAAAAGGTTGAGAGGGCGCCACACAGACATTTTTAGGCTCAAAAGTGAGATTTTATCTAATTTGCACTAAATGTCAAAAAGAAATGACCAGGATATGTAGAGAGCACAACAATAAACATATTCATGCAGTTTATGAGTTTAAAAAAGTTGATTTGGTGTTTAGTCGCTCTTTAAAGAAGCTATACCCGATTTATTTTCTAATGAGTTCATAAAAATGCGTATTACAACATACAATTTGTATTAAAATCCGTAATTTAATTCAAAACTTGAGCTCATTGATTCAGCTGTGTATGAATCCAGGCCGTAAAAAGTGCTGAGTAGAAAGCGTGATTAGCTCTCCTCCAATCACAGAACGAGAAGCGGCGCTGTTATGAACAGGCCACGCCTCCTCTAGTGTCTGCAGCACGGGTAAATAAGAGCAGCATGTTAGTATAAAGTGGCTATAGCTCCTCTGGCGGACACTGCAGACACAGCAACACAGCCACAGTGAGGAAGAGAAGAGGGAACTAAAGCGGAAAAATTATCTAATAAGAAATCAAGCACGGGTGAATAGCATTAGCTTACATCGTATCCTCTGGAGAGACTTGTCTATGGGAGAGACCTGCGGGAACGAGACCGCCTCGGACTATCTATGCCTGGACTATCTATGCTCGGACTATGCTCGGACTATGTATGCTCGGACTATGCTCGGACTATCTATGCTCGGACTATGCTCGGACTATGTATGCTCGGACTATGCTCGGACTATCTATGCTCGGCCTACATTTGGACGTGAAACTAGCAGTAATCTTTCAGTTATATATTTTGTTAGCAGTGCGTTGCTTTTGTACCATTTCATCAGTGATTGTTGTACAGCTTACAAGAAGTTGCGCTAATGCTAATGTTTGCATATAGATCAGATCGCAAATAAAACTAGATGGCTCCGGGGGAGGAGAGCGTAGGGGAAATGAGAAAGCCTGTGAACGAGTTGGGGGCGGTGCGAAACATTCAAACTGAAAAAAACCTTGCACAAACGGGTATAGCTCCTTTAAATCATTCGGTTTTCTTTAAATCCACACTTTATTGTCACAAACTCTGCTCCTTTTTCAAGAAACATAAGATTAGACTTTATTGATCTCACACTGGAGAAATTGGACGCGACCAACAAATGTAACAGGGAGCGAGGAGCGAGTGAGAAGTGAAAGTGATGGAGACGTTTTTGAAAAGGAACTATACCTCCGCTCTGACCCCGGGGCAGCTGCGGCCGCGTTGTACCGACATCTGCTTTGACAACAGCTCAGAGAACGCACATCCGCAGTACCGAGCTCGGACTTTAGACACGCGGACAGAACCATGGGCTCACGGACAGAACTATGCACTCGCGGACAGAACCATGGATTCGCAGACAGAACAATGGACGTGCGGACAGAACCATAGACTCGCGGACAGAACCATGGACGCGCGGACGTAACCATGGACTAGCGGACAGAACCATGGACGCGCGGACAGAACCATGGACGCGCAAACAGAACCATGGACCCACGGAGAGAACCATTGACGCACAGACAGAACCATGTACACCCGGAAAGAACCATTGACAGAACCATGGACGCGCGGGCAGAACCATGGACTCGCGGACGGAACCATGGACTCGAGGACAGAATCATGGACGCGCGGACAGAACCATGGACTCGCGGACAGAACCATGGACACGCAGACAGAAACATGGACGCGCGGACAGAAACATGGACTCGCGGACAGAACCATGGACGCGCGGATAGAACCATGGACGCACGGACAGAACCATGGTCTCGGCAAACAGAACCATGGACTCGCGGACTGAACCATTGACGCACAGACAGAACCATGTACACCCGGAAAGAACCATTGACAGAACCAAGGACAAGCGGACAGAACAATAGACGCGCGGACAGAACCATGGACGCGCGGACAGAACCATGGACTCGTGGACAGAACCATGGACGCGCGGACAGAACCATGGACGCGCGGACAGAACCATGGACGCGCGGACAGAACCATGGACGCGCGGACAGAACCATGGACGGGCGGACAGAACCATGGACTCGTGGACAGAACCATGGACGCACCGACAGAACCATGGACTTGTGGACAGAATCATGGACTCGTGGACAGAACCATGGACTCACGGACAGAACCATGGACTTGTGGACAGAACCATGGACGCGCGGACAGAACCATGGACGCGCGGACAGAACCATGGACGCGCGGACAGAACCATGGACGGGCGGACAGAACCATGGACTCGTGGACAGAACCATGGACGCACCGACAGAACCATGGACTTGTGGACAGAATCATGGACTCGTGGACAGAACCATGGACTCACGGACAGAACCATGGACTAGTGGACAGAACCATGGACGCGCGGACAGATCCATGGACGCGCGGACAGATCCATGGACACCCGGAAAGAACCATGGACAGAACCAAGGACGAGCGGACAGAACCATGGACACGCGGACAGAACCATGGACTCGTGGACAGAACCATGGACGCGCGGACAGAACCATGGACTAGCTGACAGAACCATGGACCGGACAGAACCATGGACGCGTGGACAGAACCATGGACTAGCGGACAGAACCATGGACTCGCGGACAGAACCATGGACGCGCGGACAGAACCATGGACTCGCGGACAGAACCATGGACGCAGAACCATGGGCGCGGACAGAACCAGGACGCGCGGACAGAACCATGGACTCGCGGACAGAACCACGGACTCGCGGACAGAACCACGGACTCGCGGACAGAACCACGGACGCGCGGACAGAACCACGGACTTGCGGACAGAACCACGGACTTGAGGACTGAACCATGGACTCGCGGACAGAACCATGGACTTGCGGTCAGAACCATGGACTCGCGGACAGAACCATGGTCTCGCGACAGAACCATGGACTTGCGGACAGAACCATGGACGCGCGGATAGAACCATGGACGCACGGACAGAACCATGGACTTGGGAAACAGAACCATGGACTCGGGAAACAGAACCATGGACTCGCGGACAGAACCATGGACGCGTGGACAGAACTACGGACACGCGGACAGAACAATGGACCAGACTTTTTCTGGCCAAACCTTGATTAAAAATGTTTATTGTTGTGGAAATGTGAAACAGTCAAAAGAGTGCACCTGTCCTGTCGGCACATACGCTGCTGCAGCTGGTCGTCTGTGAGGGGTTTGTGGCTGTGGGTTGCATTGGATCTAATTAACAAATTCAGAAGTCAGTGGCTCAGTTGGTAGAGCATTGGCCTTTGAGCCTGAAGGTCGTGGGTTCGAGTCCACCTCAAGACCTACTTCACGACTCCCACTGAAGTCTGCTGTCATTGTGTCCTGGGGCAAGACACTTACCCACACTTTGCCTGAAGCCCCTGCTGAGAGATCTCAGCTCCTGTGGACTGCAGGAGGATCAGGGAGGGGCTGGTGCTCTGTGTACTGGGTGCAGCTCTGACTACCCCCCTGACCCAGAAATGGATTAAGGGGAATAAGATGGATGGATGGAGAAGTCAGAAAATTAAACTGTAATCTATTTTATTGTCTAAAGTAGTTTGAGAGTAATGTATTAGAGTACTTATGTTTTTACAATGCAATCTAATGTCAAACTAAGGATAAATGTGACGATGAGGACAGAAGCAGAAACAGCCTCACAGAAGCTTCTTGTTTGGATTGTCAGATTTAAATGTAAAATCCAATTATACATTATTGGATTACACATTTCAATCTGACAGAACTGTAAAACACAAAAAGATTCACTCACGGGATTCTCCAAATCATTCTATTCTGAACTGGGAGATGTTTTTGTTTTGTCTGGATCTCCTTGGAAATGAGCAGGACCATCCAAACCAAAGTACTAACAATACATGACCATCGTGGACCCTGTTTTACTGTTTTTACTGTTTTTACTGCTGCTACTTTTAATTGAACTCATGAAAAAGGTGACGTCAGAAACCTTTGACTGAGAGAAGAAAGACACGAGCCTTCCAGTTTATGTGACTGACACAATCTTTAAGCCACGCCTCTTGCTGGAACTGAAAATATAATTACACGAAAATAGTTTCCCTTTGACTCAACGCCAGCAGCGCACACACACGCACGCATACAGATACATACACATACAGGCACGCACACACACACACACGTTCCAGTCTAAATATAAGGGTGAAGGCTGTCTCTATCTGCGCGAGTCTAAACACAATCACACACATACATAAACACACACGCACGCACACACGCACGCATAAACACACACCTCCTGAACTCCATAACCCGAGGTTAGGTGAAGCCATCCTGCAGATCTGATAATACAGGATTCCTGTCATTTGTATGTCCTTACAGAGGCAGACGTAACCCGTGTACAGATAATAGTGCGCATACAGGCACACACATACGCACACACACATATACGCACAGACACACGGACAAGTGCACACGCACGCGCAGGGCTGATGTTGACCTTTGCCTTAGTTTAACCCTTCCCGTTCTCACCTCTTTCGAACTCTCATCTCTGTGTGTCTCCCGGACTCACGAAGCGTGCTGTTCGAGACCTCATGCTCCAGGGTCTGAAGGGGCCCACACGCGCACCGGGCCCCCACACACGCACCGGGCCCCCACACACCAGGAGCCACTTGCCTGCGAGTGCTGTGCGTAAAGATCTCCAAACAGTTCCGTGCGTAAATCTCTCAAAAGCCCACTGGACTACTCTCAATCCCAAAGTCACGTCCGCGTTCAGATGTCCACACGCACGCGCATCAGGTAGGTGCTCCAGGCGCGTGTGCGTGTGCCACAGGAACGTCTGCTGCACCTGAAAACAGCTGCATTCCTGGCGCCAGCCACCAACCAATTAGCGCGCAGTATTATGAGAGGGAGGAGTTTATGAGCTTCAACCGGACCTAACAACTAAAACAGTCCTGCTGCTTCAATCCTTCTGTACTCCAACTTGCTATAGACCTGTTATAGTCCTGCTTTAGTCCTATACTTTAGACCTGCTTTAGAACTCTTTAGTCCTGCTTTTGACCTGCTTTAGTCTAGCTTTAGATTGGCTTTCATCCTACTTTAGTCCTGCTTATGTTTTGCTTTAGAAGGTTTCCAGGTCAAGGTCCAGACCTCACCCCAATAGAAAATCTGTGGAGGGCGGTGAAAATGTGTGTCACAAAACATCAAACCTGTGAAGACCTGTAGGAAACGTCATTACCACAAAGGTTACAAAGTATTGAGTTGAACTTTTGTGATTGGTCAAATAGCACCTTTACACAAATACACTGTTTAAAAATCCTACAATTGTACTTTCTGTCACAGATGATGTGTACCTAGAAAATTAAGGAAGCCTTGCATTTTTGCCACATCATGAATTGCCCCACCCTAAACATACAATATATTTAGTGAAAACAGCTCGTTCAAAGAGTTGGTTTGTCTTTTGTGTCAATTATAACCTGCCTTCATGCCTTCATCACCTCTAGACTGGACTACTGCAATAGCCTCTTCTTCGGTCTCCCTTCCACTCATCTTCAAAAACTACAATACATCCATAACTCCGCCGCCCGCCTTCTCACCCACACCCGCTCCAGAGATCACATCACCCCTGTCCTCAAAAAACTCCACTGGCTCCCTGTCCCATATCGCATCCAATACAAGGTCCTCCTCCTCACCTACAAGTCCCTCCATAACCTGGCCCCCTCTTACCTCACTGACCTCCTCCATCATCACTGTCCCTCCCGCCGCCTCAGACCCACAGACTCCAACCTACTCACTCCCCTCAGGACTAAACACCGAACCTTGGGGGACCGAGCCTTCGCTGCAGCTGCCCCCACTCTCTGGAACTCACTCCCTCAACCAATCAGAAACTCAGACTCACGACAGAACTTTTAATCTCGCCTAAAAACCCACCTGTTTCATCTTGCCTTTCCTTAATTTAGTTTTTCAATGTTTATTTCTATGTGTTTTGTAAAGCGTCTTTGAGTGTCCAAAAAAGCGCTATATAAGTTTGATATTGTGATAAAGTTCATTATTTTCTGTAATGTACTGATAAACATTAGACTTTCAAATATTTTAGATACATTACTCACAACTGAAGTGGTTCAAGCCTTTATTGTTTTCATATTGATGAATTTGGCAGAAAAAGTAAAGAAAAACTCAGTAAATTCTCAGAATCTCAAAAAATTAGCATATCATAAAAGGTACTCTAAACGAGTCATTAACCTAATCATCTGAACCAACAATTAACTCTAAACACTTGCAGAAAATTCCTGAGGCTTCTAAAAACTGCCGGCCTGGTTTATTGCTCAAAACTGCAATCATGGGTAAGACTACCTGACTGCTGTCCAGAAGGCAATCATTGACAACCTCAACCAAGAGGGTAAGACACAGAAAGACATTTCTGAGCCAATAGGCTGTTTCCAGAGTGCTGTATCAAGGCACCTCTGTGGGAAGTCTGTGGGACGGAAAAAGTGTGCCAGAAAACACTGCACAACCCCAAGAGGTGACCGGACCTTGAGGAGGATGGTGGAGAAGGGCCGATTCCAGACCTTGGGGGACTTGCGGAAGCAGTGGACTGAGTCTGGAGCAGAAACATCCACAGCCATCGAGCACAGGCGTGTGCAGGAAATGGGCTACAGAAACCACAACCAGAAACAGCGGCAGAAGCGCCTGACCTGGGCTACAGAGAAGCAGCACTGGACTGTTGCTCAATGGTCCAAAGAACTTTTTTCAGATTAAATCAAGGTGCCAGTGTCAAGTACCCACAGTCAGTGATGGTCTGGGGTGTCATGTCAGCTGCTGGTGGTGGTCCACTGTGTTTTATCAAGGGCAGGGTCAGTGCAGCTATCAGGAGATTTTGGAGCACTTCATGCTTCCATCTGCTGAAAAGCTTTATGGAGATGAAGAATTCCTTTTTCAGCACGACCTGGCACCTTCTCCCAGGGCCAAAACCACCGGTAAATGGTTTACTGACCGTGGGATTACTGTACTCAATTGGCCTGCCATCTCTCCTGACCTGAACCCCAGAGAATCTGTGAGATATTGTGACGAGGAAGTTGAGAGTTACCCGATCCAACACTGTGGAGGAACTTAACTGTCGAAGCATCCTGGGGCTCCATAACACCTCAGCAGTGCCACAGGCGGATTGCCTCCATGCCACGCCGTACTGAAGCATTCATTTCTACAAAAGGATTCCTGATCAAGTGTTGAGTGCATAACTGAACATCATTATTTGACATTTTTTGTATTACAAACACTTTTCTTTTATTGGTCGGATGAAATATGCTATTTTTTTGACATCGGGATTTTTGGTTTTTCTTTACTTTTTTTCCAAAATCATCAATATTAAAACAATAAAAGGCTTGAACTACTTCAGTTGTGTGTAATGAATCTAAAATATAAGAAAGTCTACGGTTTATCATTAAGTTACAGAAAATAATGTTTATCTCAATATGCTAATTTTTATAGAAGGACCTTCTAGTCATTTGTTATTTATGTCCTCTTTACAAATGCCTTTACACCTATAAAAATAACTATAAAAATAACTATAACAATCTATTTTTTGATTAATTATGTCAAAAAATGAAATAGATATAATAATTTTGAGTTTTTTATTAGGGTTTTTCTTATCTGTCATGTCTGGATTTCTCTGGAACATTTGGCACAGTGGATCAATGGTCTGGTTCCACAACACATGACGTAAAAGCAGAGAATAAAGTATGCACTGTATGGCTTTCATGTTCTCATCTTTGGGCCTGCCAGCAAAGGGGAAATGCACAAGATTCTCTCCTGAAACAGTGCGGATCTACAGCCCGTCCGTCCATCAGGATCCCTCTCTCGATGTGGGCCTGATACCCGAGGTTTCTCACCAGGTTACAGGAGGGTCTAAGAACTCCTGTATCGGCAACAACATTTATGGACAATGGTCATCTTCTCCTTTATTGATCCCCTGTAGAAGAAATATGGGTTTGCAGCAGCAGAAAACACATCCATAAAAACACATAAGTACATAAAATATAATCATTTCTAACTAACGTGGACAACTTGTGTTTTTTATCATAGCATTTCTTGTGCTTGAACTGTTTGATTCTCTGATCAGTGTTGGCGAAATGACAACTTTTCTCGAGATAACGACTGCTGTGATTTAGGGCGATACAAACATAAATTGAATTGAATTGGATGACCACTTCAGTCAAACTGGTTTTAAATCAAAGAGAAAATTGTGACAACTGCATGTCCTTGTCATCTAAACACAGCAGCTTCTGTTGTTGCAGTACTAAAGTCGGCCACTAGTCACTTAGATCACTTTAATCGATCCCTGAGGAGCAGCCAGCAGTAAAACATACTCGAAATGAGAACATGATAATAGAAAGAATATACAATAATTCAGTAACTGCACTGACAATAATTGTAAAAGATCAAAGTTGCACATGTGCATGAAAAAAATAGTGCATGCGAATAAAAAAAAAGACAAGCCTTTATATGAGTAGTTGCCTGATCTGAGCCCAGTGAGACCGAAGGGAGGGGCTGGAACCCGCAGTGCCACAGATGGATAATGAAGGCACAAATTGTTACTTTTCTGGGTAAATGCATTTGTTGATGTGCTTTATTACGAACAAAATCAACTTAAAAGTGAGCCAGAGCAACTTCTACAGTACCTTCTATAATTACACTGGGCAGGGCCTGGGAGATTTTCTGAATTTGAATACATGTATTTAACAGACTAAAGCCTTGTCCAGGATGTTGTACAGTAATCCTCACGCACAGGATACGTTCGCCTCCTCCTCATCGATGGTGTGATCCAGGGATTCTTCAGCCTCTAATGGGGACTCTCCAATGGCCTCTATTGGTCCAGGGTCCTCTCCTTGGGCCTCTTCTGAGGCCTGTCCTGGTCCTGGGGCCTCAACTGGGGCCTCTCCTGGTGACTCTGGTGGGGCCTCAACTGGGACCTCTTCTGGTCCAGGGTCCTCTCCTTGGGCCTCTTCTGAGGCCTGTCCTGGTCCTGGGGCCTCAACTGGGGCCTCTCCTGGCAACTCTAGTGGGGTCTCAACTGGGACCTCTCCTGGTCTTAGGGCCTCCAGTGGGGCCTCATCTGGGGCCTCTCTAGGGTCACCTGGTCCTGGGATCTCCCCTGAACCTTTCCCAGGGGCCTCCTCTTCCTCGCTGCTCTTGCGGATGCTGCGTTGGGACAGGAAGAGGCTCTGTTGTCTCTGCAGTTCACACAGCTCCCTCTGCAGGCGCTCCATGTGAAGTGCACGTCGACTCCTGATGGTGCGGCGCGAAAAGGGGTTGAGTTCATCAAAGGCCACGGCCGACAGCCTCCTGCGGGAGCAAAGGGAGAGGAGTGTTCTGGAATCATTTGTTCATTACAGGTAAATCAAGATGTTCACATACACCTACATCTTTTCACATTTCCTGATATTTAATCCAATCAAACCTTTCCGTGCTAGTTCAGTTAGATCAACACATATGTGAATGTGAAATGTCAGAAAACAACATTTCACACATCTGTGTCTCCGTCTGTGTGAATCTGAACGGCTGCCATTCATGTGAAGCAACAATTACATGGTTTAAAAAATCATGTTCTTCACAGTGGCATCTTAAACAACTTTAATGGTCAATAGTTTAAGTTAATGGTTTCTTTTTAGGCAATACAAATGTCATTCCTATCAGTGGGGAGCCTGTGTGCAGTGTGTGCAGTGTTTGATGTTTGGTGTGGGTCTAGTGTGGACTTGGCCTGACCCGGCGGTTTGGCTGCTGGGACCAAACACTGCATGGTGCTTCAGACTATTGTACACAGTGAGCTACCTGCCAGGAGAGAGGCCAGGGTCACATGCACCAGGAGTTAGAGCAAATATACTTTCACTGCCCGTCTGAAGGAGCAGATGTTCAGCAGGGTGTACTGGATTTTCCACCAGAGACCCCAGGACCCTCAGGAATTGTAAAGAGCCACATGACATGACGTTTATTTGATTCAAAAGCTGGGAGTTGCAGGGATTGTGGCATCTGAAGGCCCTTTTAAACATATGTAAAATAAATAAGACAAAACAAGATTATGGATTATGAAAGATAGGAAAAAGAATAACTTAATACTGCAACTAATACAAGGTAGAAGAACCAAAAGTAATGTGATGAGTCCCACCGTTATGATGACCCTGTTACAGCCGTTCTACACTGTTACCGCCGTTCTACACTGTTACAGCCCTGTTACAGCCGTTCTACACTGTTACCGCCGTTCTACACTGTTACAGCCCTGTTACAGCCGTTCTACACTGTTACCGCCGTTCTACACTGTTACAGCCCTGTTACAGCCGTTCTACACTGTTACAGCCCTGTTACAGCCCTGTTACAGCCCTGTTACAGCCGTTCTACACTGTTACCGCCGTTCTACACTGTTACAGCCCTGTTACAGCCGTTCTACACTGTTACAGCCCTGTTACAGCCGTTCTACACTGTTACAGCCCTGTTACAGCCGTTCTACACTGTTACAGCCCTGTTACAGCCGTTCTACACTGTTACAGCCCTGTTACAGCCCTGTTACAGCCGTTCTACACTGTTACCGCCGTTCTACACTGTTACAGCCCTGTTACAGCCGTTCTACACTGTTACAGCCCTGTTACAGCCCTGTTACAGCCGTTCTACACTGTTACCGCCGTTCTACACTGTTACAGCCCTGTTACAGCCGTTCTACACTGTTACAGCCCTGTTACAGCCCTGTTACAGCCGTTCTACACTGTTACCGCCGTTCTACACTGTTACAGCCCTGTTACAGCCGTTCTACACTGTTACAGCCCTGTTACAGCCGTTCTACACTGTTACAGCCCTGTTACAGCCCTATCACACCCGTATTCACCTATGCCATCCATATTATACCCTTATTACACTATACATCCTCAATACCACCATTGCAATATACTTGTTAACTATATGTTTTTAAATGTTGAAAACCTACTTAAATTCAATCAAATGTCTACTCTGTTCAAAATAATTCCAAACACAGCTGCTCCCTTTGAGAACATTTGTCACCCTGAGTTCAGAGGGAGTTGTCCGAGATGAAGAACCACGTTTGGTCAACAAACATTCTCTTATAAAGCCACAAGCCTTTGGAGCGCTCTTCCAAACTAAATCCTTTCATGAACAGATTACGGTGTGTTTAAAGGCCTGACTAAGACATGGTTATTGTCACAACCAAATTAGATGCACTGAGCGACTGTGTGATTGTGTGAAATCTTGAGTGAATGTTGGATAGTTTCCTGTGTAGTGGATTGATTTTACAGAATTGCATGTGTCTTCACATTTTCCTGTACTTTGTTAAGTGTAACATGAACCTGTCCAGGGACTACGAGTGGAAATTAGCTTCTCCTGCTACAATCAGGCTCATGGCATCTCCTCTGTCATAGACTAACGTCTAATGACTATTGTGGTGACAGTTTTTGGAGTAATTACATTAAAACCAGCCGCAGCAAATACACGGACGTCAAAGGCCTTTTATCAATGCAGACAACCTTCTGACGCCATGCTGAGCTTTGTGAAGGTCCCTGCTGTCTGTCACACCCTTGTGTCTTTCCGTCTTGCATCTGTATGACCTGCACTTCCACCATTGTCTGTCTGTTCACACCCCATGCCACTGCCACCACAGGGGATGGCGCCGGCGCTTCCTGTGCGCCTCCTCACCGGTGGCCCCCTCCGCTCCGTTGTGGGCGTGACTATCTTTGGTGTGTGTTTTGTATACAGGAAGCTGGGGGCTCTGGCCCCCAGAGCTGAGCATGCTGCCGTTGTGTGCATATGCTGACTCTCCGCACTGTGCGTTAACAATAAACTTACGCTTTTGATCAGACAAAGGACCTTTGAGTTTCCTCCTTCATGGGGTATATAATTCTATAACAATTTGGCGTTGCTGACATGTCTTGGCATGGATACTTTCGGCGGGGACGAGCGGCTTTGTTTGGCCGACCTGGATCACCAGCCTCTGTTCCTTTTTGGAGACAAGGGAGAGCGCGCTCGTCCGCGCACGGAAGGAATCCTTTTGCCACACAAGACCAAAAAGAACCTAATCTGGTGAGTCTTGTCTTTTCATCTGCGTAACGAGCCCAGGGCAGCACTTAAGTGTACACGGGGATTTGTTTATTTATGTATTTTTGGGGTATTTCATTCATTGCCACAGCATAGTCTGTGTGCGGGATTTTTTGGGGGGCTTTTGTTCTAGATTGAAACTAGCGGCTGCGCGTTAGTATCGTCCTGTAGGCGACCCTGAAAATTTCTCCAAGTGTCTTCAGCCAGAACCGCTCCATTTCAAGAACGCGCGCTCGCTGGTTGAACCAGCGGGGGGGGAATGGAGCGCCCCAAAGTGGGTAGGAGCAGGGAGAGACTAAGCGGGTTAGGCCCATTGTTCGTACGAGAAAATGGGTAAAAAACAATCTAGAAGATGCAAGCTATGGAGTGCTTGCCTATGGTGCAGGCCATTACGCATCTTGCGTGATAATTTAGAAGAAGAAGGGAAGAAAAAAATATACTTGGTTTTAAGAATATCACGGCAAAAGAGGTTAGAGAAAGAAATATGTAAAAACAATAGCTCCTCCGCCCTTCACCGAAGCGGAGAACACAGGCGGACACACACACACACATCCCCCACACCCCCACCCTACCCCTACTAACAATAAGTGTGCACCCAAACAAGGCGTTGGGTTTTAAAAAAAATGAGCAGACTACTGTTGTCCCTCTTCCTCTCCCTATCCAGGTCTGTCGGCGCCTTTCCTCCGCGCACTGTCCTCTGCCTCAAAGCACCAGCCCCACGCCCCAACCACAGGCGGCGCCCGCACCAGCTGAGACCCCGCGAGAAGTGGGCCCAAACCGCAGAAGAAGAAGAGGCAGAAACAGACACACGCTCAGGAAACCACAGAAGAAGAAACGGGGGAAGCAAATATGTGAGACACCGACAACTGCTCTGGAGCACAGAGAGAAATTGCTCCAAATCCCGTGACTGTTCTCCACGGAGGGGGCAGCGTGATATACCAAACGCACCCGCGGAAACCCGCTTGAAAGTTGTTCCCGCACCGCAAACAGAAGAAGCCAAAAGTACCGGCACGTTTGGGTCATTCACCAACCCTCATGGACCACATGCTAACGCTTTGGGCTACCTGGGCCTCCTGCGGACTTTGAAAAACTTCCACAGCCCGGCGGAAAGACTGTGTGCTCGACATGGGTCGAAGGACTGTTGCCAGAGGAGGCGTTAAAGGCAGAGGAACGCTCAAGCTCACACGGGGCCAGAGGACGGCAGAGGCGGGCACGGAGGAAACACGAGCGACTGACCAAACCTGGGTTCACATTCGTCACCAAAGCGACCGCTCATGTGTAAAAGTGAGAGTACTCTGGGATGAGTACTCTGAGAAAAGTACTCTGCTGAAAGTACTCGGAGATGAAATACCTCGCTGAAGATATTGGGAGTTCCTGCCTCTGCTGTTTGTCCTGACAGCGACACAGTCCAACCGCAGTGAGCTGTCGTTGGTTGAAGGACAACTTGGTTTGTAAACTCACATTTAGGGAAGTATAAAATTAGAAACATACATTTTGTTAAGTCTGTATTTTGCTACAGCCTCCGCCCTGATGCCAAACACCGTCTGTCAATGCAGTTATGTTTTGCCCAATTGGAAAAAGATTGACAAGCGAAAGTGGGCATTTTTTTTGTGTTTTTTGTGTTCTAATATTTCTTTTTCAGATGAGAGATAAACTACCCCTGCTCCAGGGATGACAGTAGTATGGATCATGAGGAAATGAGCCTCCACTTTGGCACAAAAGCCCACGATATGAATTGAGGACGATCCGGGAGAAAAGCAACTGGAGATGAACGGAACAGTCGGTACTTTTGCAGTCTCACGGAGGGCCACTGAGACCCACTGCTTACTTCTCAGCAAAACTCGATCCCGTGGCAGCAGGGTTGCCTCGCTGCCTGCGGGCTGTGGCTGCCGCTGAGAAAGCGGCCCTAGCATCACGTGACCTTGTGGGATACACTGAACTAACTTTGCTTGTGCCCCATGCTGTTTCCCTGATCCTGTTAGAGCAGAGGGCCTCTCACCTTTCTGCGGCTCGTTGGCTGGGGTACAAAGGGGAGGCACGCTGCTGTATCGCCACAATAGAGCAGAGATGCACTCCCAGGCCAGACCTGAAAGAGGTGCCTCTGACTAATCCTGACTTGATTTTTTTTTATACAGACGGAGCCGCGTCACGTGACAACACTGGGAAGAACCGAGTCGGCTATGCTGTGTGTTTCTGATTTTGATACTATAGACTCTGGTAGTTTGCCCCACTACCACTCAGCACAAACCGCTGAGCTGGTCGCGCCCACCGGGGCTTGTGAGCTGGCAGCGGGCAAAACTGTTAACATATTCTGTGATACGCGTTATGGTTTCTCTGTGGTGCACGACTGGGAAGCACTGTGGAAACACCGCAATTTTATGAAATCTGATGGTAAACCAATTCTTAATTCCACACAGGTTGAACGTCTGCTGAAAGCTGTAATGTTGCCCTTAGAGATCGCTGTATGCAAATGCCAGGCCCACACTAATGCCACTGATCCCATCTCTGCAGGGAATCGGCGCGCGGACAAGGCAGCGGCATACGCACCTCTACACACACACACACACACTACCTCACTCAAGACGTTGATATTTTCTACTCCAGCAGAGACGCTGCTGTGAGAGGGGAATGGGGCTCAACGACGGCATGGTGTGTGTGGCTGGGACCAGACAGCAAACCGTGCCTACCACGGCATTTCTTCAGACAGTTTGCAATTTTAGCACATGGTCGAGACCATGCCTCAAAAGGAGGGATGATGTGTGATTTAATCACACAAAATTGGTATACAAAGGGGTTTACGGCATTTGCACAGAGATTCAGCCAAACATGCGCTATATGCCCCGCGCACAACCCAGGTAAGTCCCAAAAGTATCCAACAGGCTGCTCATCCTCCGCCCCTGCGCCCATTTCAACATGTCCAAAGGGACTTTGTTGAACTCACACCATGCCAAGGTAAGTAATACTGTCTGGGTCTGGCGGATCTCTGGTCCAAATGGACTGAAGTATTTGCAGGCATACACGCCACGAGCAACGCGGTGGTGAGTCACTTTGTAGCAAAAGTCATTGAGGAAGTGGGTGAATTTCTGGGCATTGATATACGTAAACACTGCAGTTACGCCCCCTGGTCCGGAGGCACGTGCGAGCGAGAGAATGGCACTCAAAGCTCTGCCGCTAGCCCCACGTTGGGCGCGGGACCCCCGAACAGAGATCTGCCAAGCACCTCTTTGTGTGATGACGACATGCTGTCCTATTGTAAGGTAATTAATGCACTTTTGTCCTCTATTTCTGCCCAGGTCAGGAGCGCCCTGCCACAGGCTGCGCAGGCGGCTCTGCACAGGATCAAGCCAGGCGACTGAGTCCTGGTGAAGGAAACGAGACGACAACATTGGCGGTCCAAGCGCTGGCTCGGTCCATTCCTCGCCCTCCTGGTGACGGACACTGCCGTTAAGGTCGCGGAGAGGACAACTTGGATCCACGCCAACCACTGTCGTGCGGTGCTGCCACTGAGGGCCATAGACAAGGACACCGAGGGCGCGGACGGACCAGGCCCATCCGCGGCTCCCTACGCTGAATAGGTCTGCCGGCGTGCGACCACCATCGGTGAAGCAGGCCAACAACAACACCCAGAGATTCCCAGCGTTCCCGAGGCGACCCCCCTTTGCCCAACTCCCCAGCCCCCGGACCCCAAGGCCTGGGAGCCATGAAGGCCCTGAGCGCTCTGCTCAGCCGCAGCAAGTATGCAGAGCTGCTGCTCATTCCAAAGATTTCTCCAGAGCCTGCTCCCTCTGGCCATAATGCAGATTGGAGCTCTGCTGGAGTGCCCCCTGGTGTCTCGTCTCCCGTGTGTCCGGAGGAGGTGGAGATGAGGGCTGCTCTACAGTTCCTGATGAGGCACATGGTGAAGCGTGCTGTCATGAGGTCTCCCATCAAATGAGCTTTGGGCCTGGCCGATCTGGAGCGTGCTCAAGCCATGGTCGCCACACCCCAAACCCCGAGCACTCTGCCCAACCGAGTGCTGAGGCCAAGGCTTCAACGCAATTAGAGTCTTGCCGCTCCAAGACCAAACATCGCCATGACCACTAACGCTCCACACACGCTCATAGGGAGCGGTGCCACTGACTGCGAGACGGCACTGCTCGTGAGTATTCCCGCGGAAAAGACTACCGAACGTAGACCGGCATGGGCCCTTGGACTGTTATGCTGGCCACACTGACACTACTTTCCGTGCTGACCGTGTTTATTATGTTAATATTGCCTTCTCTTATCGCTGTCCGGATCCATTGTGTTATTATAATGTGCTCTTTCTTTTATTGACAAGCATGTGTCTTTTCCTGTCCACTTTGGACAGCAATAATTTAAGTGTTTCAAGCTTGAAGGTGGTGTGATTACGATGCCTCTGGTATTTAACTGATTAATGCAAAAATGGTTTTGAATTATCAGAAGAGGGGAGTGTGGTGACAGTTTTTGGAGTAATTACATTAAAACCAGCCGCAGCAAATACACGGACGTCAAAGGCCTTTTATCAATGCAGACAACCTTCTGACGCCATGCTGAGCTTTGTGAAGGTCCCTGCTGTCTGTCACACCCCTGTGTCTTTCCGTCTTGCATCTGTATGACCTGCACTTCCACCATTGTCTGTCTGTTCACACCCCATGCCACTGCCACCACAGGGGATGGCGCCGGCGCTTCCTGTGCGCCTCCTCACTGGTGGCCCCCCTCCGCTCCGTTGTGGGCGTGACTATCTTTGGTGTGTGTTTTGTATACAGGAAGCTGGGGGCTCTGGCCCCCAGAGCTGAGCATGCTGCCGTTGTGTGCATATGCTGACTCTCCGCACTGTGCGTTAACAATAAACTTACGCTTTTGATCAGACAAAGGACCTTTGAGTTTCCTCCTTCATGGGGTATATAATTCTATAACACTATCTCTGAACAAATAGATCACATTTAAAATATATATAATCTCTGTTACACCCAGATTCACTTTATCATCCCTATTTAACCCCTATTTCACACTTATTACCCTCTTACTAAAACACTAAAACAGGTATGAGCGAGTGAACAGAGGGTTGGACTGTGAAGCTCCAGTGTGTTCAGCGTCTCGCTGCTGTCATCACCGTGCAGTGAAAGGAACAATATCTGATCTTTGAACATTGTAACTTTTACAATGTTCAAAGATCAGATATTGTAAAATGCACTTTATAAATAAAGATTACTTACTTCCACCCTTATTACACCCTTAATGCACTTCTATTACACTAGGCGTACTATAAACAAAAACAATATAACTATATTAAATCATTCAAAACATGAAATCAAAGAGATAAAAAGTCCCATTATAAAATTGTAAACCGCTTTGTGACTCTGGTCTGTGAAAGGCGGAATATAAATAAAGATTACATACTTACTTAAAAGTGAAAGAATAAACTATTTAAAAGCACCATTATAAAAGAAAAGGAAAAGTAGAACTCTTAGTACTGCGAATACTGCAAATACAATAAAAAGGGGATGTATCAAAAGTAATGCGATGAGTTACACCTTTATAAAGATCAAAAAGTGAATTATTTTTAAAAAGCACTATTATAAAAAAAAAAATACAACTTTAAGTACAAATATTTAAAATACAAAAAACTATACACCAAGAATAATGACCCATGAGACGAGAAAATCAACCAAAACAGATGAAAAGTCACGAAAGGGTTTAGTTGAAATGTGGAAGAGAAAAAACATGAGTTGGATAAAGTCATGTGAGTACTAAATATAAATAAGTAACAATGCTGTTCAGAACAGATTCTCTGACATGTTTCCTCCATGGAGCTCTCCAGTGCATAGGAAGAAGAATTGAATACATTGATGAGACAGAACCACTGTGGTAAGACCTTAGGGCACTGTGCAGAAACCATAGACTGTAAAAAAAAAAAAACATACACACACAGTGCCCTCAGTGACAAAAAAATATTAGGCGAACATCAGAAGAGGGCGCTAAATCCTCATTTGCCGGGATTTGACGTGCATAAAAATCTGAGGTCAATGCGATTCTATGGTGCGAACGGGGTCGTGATGAATGAGCTGCTTTTGGTGTTGCGCAGGGATAGGAGCAGCAGAGATGCGCGGTAATGAGTGGCCACATGGGTGAGTTACAATCTGATATAGAAGTACTCAAACACACAATCCGTGAACTAATCTGACTTTGCAGCAGAAGTGCGCAACGAGATTTACTGATCTAAAAGTATTCGTTGCCGATTTGTCCGCGTTTCTGACATCTGCGGGCCGGAGATGGAGACTCCGGCGCTTCCAGAGACCCGCGGCCATGCCCGCGGCCCTTTGCTGGGATTTCAAAAACAGTGAAACCTAGTTCAAAATAACATGAAAACATGTGCTATCTTAGCCAGTAATGGCAGAAGTGTGGCAAAAGCATGGGCAAAAATGATTTTGTTAAGTACCATATAGCTGACGCAGCTGCGTAATTTCCATAGCAACGCTGAGTATAATATATATATATATATAGGTGCCAGGCGACAGGACTTCACTCTGACTTTGACGAGCCAGGGATTGTAGCACTCCGAGCTTCGAGCAGGTGCGACTACTTTCATTACGTTTTACATCAACAACATTGATCCAAGCTTAGTAGGACAGTCTCTATCATACAATAAACTCTGTTTTGTTGATTATTTTACACTTTTCCAGATTTTCAAGACTAGCAAGCGTTTCAATCAATCATCGATATGGACAACCATCTGGGCCAAGGTAAAATATGTTAACATATATGACATTTTCATATTTCACAAACATCAGAAGTGTATGGGAAGAGTGGACATGTTCACATCATTTAGATGACTAATTGGGAAGACAATGTTTCTTTGCTTTTAACTATGTGTTCTAAATTGTGGTAGCATTAGACATTTCAGACGACGATTTAAGGATGAATTAAATGCGAAAACTTGGATAAAGTGACATAAATCTGTAGCTTATGATGCGAACAAACCATTTTTTGAGACATATTCATGAAAACAATAGTATTTATTTCATGGTTTGTTGAAGTCCATAACTTTCTGCTGCGTTTCTGGAAAACAAAATGGCGCCCGTCCAAAAAGGAATGTTTATTTTTGGTTGCTTGGTAACCAACTTTCTATGGCACTTAAATATGCTGGTCCCAGACTGGTCCTGGACTGGTTCTGGTTCTGAGCAGAGTCAGCTTGGTTTTCCACAGAAGGGCGCTTGTTCAACACATTGTTTACTGTCAACAGTTAGCGTTTGGCTTTTATCAAACTGTTTCAGCTGTATTTCTAGTTTTATTCTCCAGTTTTAGCACTTAATAAAGTGAGTATAGTTAAAAAAAAAGAAAGTATAAATTACATTTTGGAGTTTGGGAATTCTGGTAAAGCCTGTGGTTAATGACCCATTACTGTATTATGGTACAGGTGTGCTAACTAACATGCATATTGACTGTGCCAGTCAAACAGACAAACCTTCTGCCCCTCATCCATTTATTACCCTTCAAAAATGAATGCTTGTTCTGTCTTAGGAGACCACCACCGCACTCCGACCCACGCTGGAGATGGAGACCACTCATCTTCTTTACGTAAGTTCCTCTTTCACTCATTCCTGTGTTTCTGCTTAATGGTTGTTGTTGATACTGTAGTTAACACAATGCAAGTTGACCCCCGTTCGTGCCTTTGAATTATTTCTGAATTTCTCCTTCGGGGATCAATAAAGTATCTATCTATCTATTCAGGGTAGAGATATGTCAAACATTTTTTACAATATTGTTAACATTCCGATGCCAAGTATCAATAGCTTTTTTATTTCTGTAACACAGAAATTACAACCGGTTCAATCTGAAGAGACCAAAGACACAATTAATACAATAAAATTATTTATTTGTTTGGCGCATTGACCCCGGCAGTGACACTTGCAGCAATGAGATCGATTGCAGCTGAAGATGATCTCAGATCCCCCGGGGTCAATCACTGGTGGTGGCTAGAGTATGGTGTGAATGGGGCGTAGGCGGAGCAGGAGCCGGAGCGGGAGCCTAGAGCGGGAGCCAGAGCGGGAGCCAAGAGCCAGAGGGGGTGCTGGGGAGGTGGTGGGTGTTTAAGAGCCGGGTGGGTGGGTGTTTAAGGGTGTTGCTTCTCAGGAAGTGGCTGCCTTTTAAACTGCCCGCTTTTCTGTGAGAGGGTTGGCAGGAGGCTGGCCTGGCTGTGTGATTGGCTGAGGCTCGAGGCTGGCCTGGCTGTGTGATTGGCTGAGGCTCGAGGCTGGCAGGCACTCGGTCTTTCAGTCTGAACCTGCGCATTCAGCTTCATTTGTGCTTCTTGTGGAAACGTTTTCCTCTGGAATTGAATCTGCCAGGGTTTGTTTTTGTCCCGTCTACAGTTACCTCATTGTCTGCATATGCATGACATCCTTTAATTATGAGTACCTTAATTTGAGTACTTGCAAATACAGATACGAGTACTTCATTGTGTCATCTCTGGGGATTCACAAAACTAATACAACTGAAATTTAAAATGTTTTATTTCTCATTTCAACAATAAGAAAATGCTTCAACAATTAAACATATTAACAATTTTTTTAACAGTCAACAAAAAGACTGTCTTTGTCATATTACACTCATACAGTCACTGTTTTGCAGTCCGCTTTACTCTTTTACGTTACGCGTTACTCGTTTACTTTAAAACACTGCCATACGGCCGACATCCTGTCCGCTTGCCGCTGGCTTGCCTTCTCGCTGTCAAATTTTGAAGATCATCTTGCAACACGTGTGGCACAGCTGTCCGCTGTCGTGACGCTAAAGCCTGGTTCACACGAGACAATTTTAAAATTGTCGGCCGATTTAAAAAAAAAATAATAATTCTCCGTGTGAGACACACACGGAGATAAAAAATCACGGGTCTAACCACTTTGGTCGTACAGTGTGTGGTGTACAGCCACACGGCAAAATCACGCAAACCACACACATCACACAAGAACCGATTTCACCCCCGAGCATTCAGTCAGACGGAAATCTCACAACATCTCTCGAGATCAAGCAGAGTAAACAGAGTGTGCGGGCCTCTCCGCTTCACGCAGCCTATAGAGACTCTCGTCTGACCACAGCAGCCACAGACACCATGAGGACAAACACATACATGTGGATTTTACTGCTCTACAGTTCTCTGGCCCGTACTGTCTGTGCTGTTCAACAATACAGTTTGTACGGACTACCTGTGAATGCACCACACACACTGCTAGACATGAAACTTAACATACGCACAAACCAACAAGCACGGCTGCAGTAACAGCTGCATCAACATGTCTGTACTGTATTAGGACAGAGTGCAAAGTAAACGTACAAACACAACCCATCAGTGATCATTTAGTGTACTAATCCCGTCCGAATAGGGCTTATGCCAACACTACCTGTGCAGCAGCTATTTCTGCCCAATTCCTCTCCTTGTCATTTCGGTGATGATATTCTTTACACGACACGTCACATACATTCACGGTGTTGCCTTAGGTCAACTAGTTGTTCCTCCATCTCTGATGTCCACTGAACTTTCTGGTGCGCCATGCCGCTGACTGGTTTGTTTTTTTTACGGCGTTTCCTCACCGGCTCGTCTCGTCTTCTGATTGGCTACACGCCGCAGTCATGGCAACGCGCTCGTGTGTCCCCGGGGGACACCACACACGAAGAGAAATCGGGCCAAAACAATCCAACATGTTGGATATCCCCGATTTGAGATCGGAGCAGTCCCGAAGTCCTTCCGAGCGACGAGCGCAGTCTTAACACACCACACACGGCAGGAGAATCCATTAGATTTTTTGTTACGATATTCGGAGCGTTCTTACGATTGTCGTAGGGGTAAATCGGATCCAAAATCGGCCTAAATATCCTGCCGTGTGAACCAGGCTTAATGTAAATTGAAAATGTGGGTATCAGTTGCCAGCATCGGGTCCTATCGGCCCGATACCGTATCGACGCAGTCCTACTTTAAGTTATTTGTTAAGATGTTCGTTTGAAGCGCCCAACATTGTTCCCATCCCTTAAAACTGTGCTGTTTGCATGATGGCGTGGGACTTGTCAGAATATTGCCGTCTGGTTTTGTGGGGGCAATATTCCTTCGATTTTGTCTCTTTATAATAATCTTTATCAAAAACAAATTTTCCTCACTCTAGATATTAGATCTGTTCTCATGAAAACTCTGACCTTGTGGCTCAGAGCCCTGCGAAGGAGCTTGGTGGCACATGGGTAGGGCTGTCGGAATTAACAATATTAACGGCTTATTAAACGAGCGCGAGGTCTGTACAGAGAAATATCAGACCGCGGCCTTTTTGTACAGACCGAGCCGTGGCGAGTCTGTGCAAAAAGACCAAGGTCTGATATTTCTCTGTACAGACCGAGCAAGCGAGATTAATAAATGTTTTATTATATGACTATTTTTAATTTATGGAAATATCTATCTCTGACTTGGTTTTCCTAATCGTGTTTTTAGCTTTCTGATCTGTAATGAAGTTGTCAGTCTCTTCTTGACTGTTAGGAGTTGTATTTTCGTCGTTATTTGCTGTTATTACTTCCTCTGGCTCTTCGAAGTCGTCACTCTTTCTTTTTTTACCGAGGAAAGATATCAAATTTGATAAGCGCTGCGGACCAATTGTCATAGTAAGGGTCCGAGATGGGAAAATATCAGACCGCAAATCAACCAATCAGAGCACGCGTACGATCCAAGTCATATAATAAATTGTGTTATCATGCGGTAACTAAAAATGAGGTCAGTAAGTCTGATGGCTTCGATAAGTTCCATTTGTTTGTTCGCTCTTTGTCATCAGCCTACCTACCTGATAACGCATTGTCTCCAAGTGTGTTGAGCAAGAGCCAATCAGAGGCATGTAATGTGTGTGCACACCACTAGGAGCAAGCATGGATGTATTATTGCATGTACTAGAACGAGATTCTGCATGCTCTGTTGCCAAAGCGTTCTGATCCCGGAGCACTGCTGCCGCTTTGTAGTGAATGACAGCAGTTCCCACCTCCAGCGGCTGTGAACCTGACTATAAGATTCATTGTTGCAACCTAAATGTTGTGTAACCTGTGTCCATGTCTCCCCCCTCCTCCTGAAGCACTGAAGCTAAAACTCACCAAATTAAAGCTGGGGTACCTACATTTTCCCTTGCATTAATAATGCATGTTGGTAACTTGTGCCCAAAAGTAAAAAATAATCTACACACAAGTTTTCTCACTTAGCTTTAATTCAGACTCTTAGCCCATATTCCAGACACACTGAAAACAAACTTTGTTAGCAAAGTTACTTCCCCTTTTTACAAAAAAATAAATTATAGAAAATCTTTCAAATTCCGATGTGACAGACAGCACTTTAAAGCACCAAAATAAATGATTTTTATTTGAAATAAATGCTCTATTTATATGTCTGTTCCATAAAAAATACAATTGTTGGCAAATATTTCAGACGTTTGGGAAAATTATTAAGATAATGTTGAATATTTCAAGCTTCCAAAGGTAATTATTTTCCTGTTTTGTCAAAAATGCTATACTCAAAAGGGGGTGCTTTGCGTGTATTTAAAAAAAAATAGTCCCATTACTTCTAACAACGTTCAAACAAGAAATGGTGCAAACTGGCCGACAGCGTGGTTTTCATAATTGCCAAGGTAATGCTGCTGCTTTATACCGATGAACATATGCATTTCGAAAAATGTTCCTCATATTTGACCCTCAGTATGAGTTGCCTGGGAGAATCTTTTTGTCCCAAAAAAGGCAGTCCTAGAGGTATACAATACCATTAAATACAAAATAAACAGGGAGCTCAAAGAGTCAATGGTTGCTTTTTATTCATTTTGTTTTCTAGGAGTATTTATGGTTAACTGGGACTGAATTTGTTAAAATGTTTTCCAGTTCCAGAACATTGTTAAATGTTTTAAGAATTATTGATCTTCCAAATGGTCAATTTGCCGTTTTTATGCCGTTTGGCAGTGCAAAAAGCCTCCAAAGGACAATTTTAAAATTAATGACATTATTGGCGTTTATTGGAAAAAATCTGGGCCATTTAATCGAAAATGTGTTATTGTGACAGTCGTACACATGGACAGAGGGCTCAGCGAAACAACGGTGTCTTGGATATTAGGATTTAAATATTTCAAACATGTATGAATGATGCTAAAAACAACAAATATTTGACTTGATTTTATTTCTTTTCTAGGTCACCGTGTAGCCCCCCGGGCTTTTGAAGATTGGGAACATCTCCACCTCCCTCCCCAGGGTTTCTTTGCCCCGCAGGTGGTCTTCCCTCCCCAGGGTTTCTTTGCCCCGCAGGTGGTCTTCCCTCCCCAGGGTTTCTTTGTCCCGCAGGTGGTCATCCCTCCCCAGGGTTTCTTTGCCCTGCAGGTAGACGACCCTCCCCAGGGTTTCTTTGCCCCGCAGGTGGTGATCCCTCCCCAGGGTTTCTTTGCCCTGCAGGTGGACGACCCCCCCCAGGGTTTCTTTCCCCCGCAGGTGGACGACCCCCCCCAGGGTTTCCATCCCCCGCAGGAGGAGGACCCTCCCCAGGGTTTCCATCCCCCGCAGGTGGATTACCCTCCCCAGGGTTTCCATCCCCCGCAGGTGGACAACCCTCCTCAGGGTTTCTATCTCCAGCAGGTGGATTACCCTCCCCAGGGTTTCTATCTCCAGCAGGTGGATTACCCTCCCCAGGGTTTCTATCTCCAGCCGGTGGATTACCCTCCCCAGGGTTTCTTTCCCCCGCAGGCGGAACTCCCTCCGCAGGTGGATCTCCCTCCACAGGCGGTTCTCCCTCCGCAGGCGGTTCTCCCTCCGCAGGCGGTTCTCCCTCCGCAGGCGGTTCTCCCTCCGCAGGCGGTTCTCCCTCCGCAGGCGGTTCTCCCTCCGCAGGTGGATCTCCCTCCGCAGGTGGACCTCCCTCCGCAGGTGGACCTCCATCCGCAGGTGGACCTCCCTCCGCAGGTGGATCTCCCTCCGCAGGTGGATCTCCCTCCGCAGGTGGATCTCCCTCCGCAGGTGGATCTCCCTCCGCAGGTGGACCTCCCTCCGCAGGTGGATCTCCCTCCGCAGGTGGACCTCCCTCCGCAGGTGGATCTCCCTCCGCAGGTGGATCTCCCTCCGCAGGTGGACCTTGCGGATCCTCCTACTGCAGCCGGCCCTTCCCCTCCTGTTTCTCCTTTTCTTTCCTCCCCCTCACGTCCTGCCTCTCCCTTTTCTCCCTCTACGCCTTCCTCGTCTTCTTTTTCTGCCTCTGATTTCCAGAGCCTTGAGGAGTTCCTGGACATTTTTGTGCAGACTCTGGATCCAGCTCCTGCCTCCCCCACTGTTGCTCCTATTCAGGTCCGTCCAATCATTGGTGCATATGTCCCCTCTCCTCCTGGCAGTGCTCCTTCTTCTCCCCTTCTTGCCTCCCCCTCACACTCTTCCTCTCCAGGTCCAGAGGAGTTTATTTTAGGTCCAGATCTTCCTGTTTCAGATTTACCTGACCCAGGTTGCTCTTCAGATTTTAACACTGCTTCTCCCACTCCCTCTTCTTCCCACAAACGTAGCAGGTCCGAGTGCTCCCCCGAGAACAACTCCAAGAGGCAGCGCCGCTCGTCTCCTGCTCCCTCTTCTTCCTCCCGCTCCCCTTCCTTGTGACCCTCCCTTCCCCCTCTCCACTCTTCCCTCCCCTTCTACTCTCCCTCCACTTCTCCTCCCTTCCCCACTCTTCCCTCCCCTTCTCCTCTCCCTCCACTTCTCCTCCCTTCCCCACTTTTCCCTCCCCTTCTCCACCGGCTCCAGAAAGGGCCATGTGGCTGCAGGTTTTACTTCCAACAGTTCCAAACTGAGCAGGAGCACAGATGACTCCACCCATTTCCTCAGGTGAGTCCAGTTTTAACCTGAAGATTTGAGGAAATGGGTGGAGTCATCTGTGCTCCTGCTCAGTTAGGAACTGTTGGAAGTAAAACCTGCAGCCACATGGCCCTTTCTGGAACCGGTTTGAGACCCCTGTCCTAACCCCATCCCTGCCCTCGTAATCCCCTGATCCTTCTTCCACACTTCCTAATCAGATCCAGTTCCAGAGGACCCACTTTTTACAGTCCTCCCTCTCCTTCTTCCTCTTCCTGTTTCTCCCTCTCAGGTATTTCAACAGCACGAGTAGACCCAGACTCTGGAAGGACAAACATCAGTGTCCAGAGCAGTAAAGGAGTCTACCTGACCTGTGGCAGCTGCCATTATTACTGCCACTGGCATTTTCAGTGGCAACTATAGGTGCCACAAAAAAAGATTCCCTTCTTGTCCCGACAGACATCAATGTCTAGAGCAGTGACACTGGAATCTGCCACAATCTCTGCCGCTGGCAAACTTGAGTGGCCTTTTTGTGGCAGCTAGAAGTTTAGTGGCATTTTTAGTTGCAGCTAGTATTTAATTGGCATTTATCAGCCACGTCTTGAGCAGAGAGCATTTTGACCTTCTTGGTTTTCCAGCTGCACAGAGAACAACCAGGGCACCACTACCTGCCCTGGGGAACAGCTTATACAGTATCTCCAAAATGTATAGCTGCCATTGAAAATGCCACTAAACTTCGAGCTGCCACTGAAAATGCCACTAAACTTCGAACTGCCACTGAAAATGCCAGTGGCAGAAATTGCCGCAGCCTTTTATCCAGCTCCCACAGAAGGAACAGAGCAGACCCAGGTGAACTCTGGAGGACGGACATCAATGTCGAGAGCAGACTCAGGTGAGCTATGGAGGTCAGACGTCGCATGTTCTTTAACAATCTGTTCTCTCAACATTAAATTGTATTTGTGCAGAAGAGAGGTGCCTGCTGAAGCGCATTGAGTGCAGAGAAGTGTGTCGCAGAGCAACAGATGCTGGATCACACGTGTCAGAGCTCACTGGACATTCAGGACAAGTGGGTACAGCACACACGACCTGACCTGATAAGATGAGAGGAGGTGACTGGAGGAGCACTGCATGTAAGGGTGGTCTATGTATAGATATGTGTATAAAGTGAGGCAAAAACATATTTGTTAGTTACTGACAGTTGTTCCTAGTTCAACTGAATCAATTAATTTGGTGCAGAAAATAAATCTTCTGTTCCCCATGTATCTGTTCTCTGCCTAATCCCTGTCTCCCTCTTGTGTCTTGCAGGATTGGTGTTTTGCTGGTGGGATATATCTGAGCAGTTACACCTGACTCACAGGTCTCACAGACAGATTGTTCCGTCTTAACAGAGGTACAGCCCTATCTTTAGCTTGAATCTTGTGAAACTTCAAACTTTAGAGCAGAGACTACTTCCTTTGTAAACTCAGCAGAGAGCATCTTGACAATCAGGGCACCACCACCTGCCCTTGGGGACATTCATGTGAAAATGCCTTTAAGCTTCTTGCTGCCCCTGGAAATAAAACAAAAACTTCTAGCTGCCACTGAAAATGCCAGTGGCAGAAATTGTGGCTGCAGCTGACGGTGCCACAAAAAGAGTGTGCCTTCTCTCATCCAGTACAGACTCAGGTGAACTTAGGAGGACCGACATAACATGTTCTTTAAAAATCTGTTTTCTCAAAACTACATTTTATTTGTGCAGATGCATAGAGGTGCTTGTAGAAGCGCATTGAGTGCAGAGCTCACTGGACATCAGGACCAGGGAGACAGCACACAGGACCTGACCAAGATAAGAGGTTACTGGAGCAGCCATGCAGGTAAGGGTGGTCTGTGGATGTATATATTTGTATATATAATGTGGGGCAAAACATATTTGTCAGTTACTGACAGTTGTCCCACAACTTCTTATTTCAACTTCAACTGAATCAATTCATTAGTATAGTAGTGCAGAAAATAAATGTTCTGTTCCCCACGTGTGTCTATTCCCTGGTCTCTTAGTCCCCCGCTTGTGTCTTGCAGGATTGGTGTTTTGCTGATGAGATCTCTGAGCAGTTACACCTGACTCCTACGATCAAGGTCTCACTGCCAGATTGTTCCGTCTTCTCAGTGGTACAGACCTATCATTAGCAAGAATCTAGTGAAACTTCAAACTTTAGGATGTGTAGCATTTTGTGCCTTGTGATTCATTCATATGTTCTTTTTTTCCCAGACGACCTGTCTGCTCCAGAGACCCACCAGCCAAGTCAAGCGCATCCTCGCCCATCTCCTTCCTGTGGTCAGCCCCACCCTGGACCCGCTGCAGTGCGCCTACAGGCCCAACATCGGAGTAGAGGATGCTTGACTTCTCTAGTGCTTTCAACACCATCAGTCCGGCACTGCTGCGAGGGAAGATGGAGGACGCAGGAGTGCACTGTCACCTCACTGCATGGTCCGGCTGCGCAGCCGCACGTACGACACACAGAGCTGCAAACCTGCAGATGTTCTCTGACGCCTGGTGGGCAGAACCTGGGTGTTCACATGAACAATAAACTGGATTGGTCCCATAACGCCAACGCCCTGTACAAGAAGGGTCAAAGTCGCTGCCCCCTTCTGAGGAGGCTGTATAGAGAGCAGGCCTCTGCACAGGACTTTGCATGACTCTGTGGTAGACTATCCACTACGCTGCCGTGTGCTGGGCCCCGGGCAGCACAGAGTGCGACAGGAACTGACTTGACAAGCTGGTCAGGAGGGCCAGTTCTGGGCTGTCCACTATACTCTGTGGAGGAGGTGAGGGACTGGAGGATGCTAGCCAAAGTCACCTCCATCATGGTCACCTCCTCCACCCACTTCACAGGACTGTAGAGCTCTTTCAGTGGAAGACTAAGGCACCCTGAGTGATTCTATCGATGCCTATCATATCTTAATAAAGGTTTTTCCTTTTTCCTAACCTGCTTGCAGTGTCTGCTTTGGGGTCCTTTTACAAATATTTTTTTCAGACTCAAATTGAATTGGTCCATATTCTGAAAGAATACAATATATACAGTCAGTCCAAACAGGTGTATAGGTGGAGGAGGTGCTTTCTTAGAGCAGAGGTGTGGTGCCATGACTAATTTTTAACTCATGACATGACTAACGCAGCCACTGTGTTTATTTTAGTTTAATCAAACTTTGATTTGGTAACTACAAACACACAATGAATTACAGTTTGATTACATGCAGAAAAGAAACTGGTAATGTGGGTAACAAACAAAATCACTTTCATAGCTTGTTAATTACAGTGCACTTTTCTAGAAGTACATTGACCATAACTGTATATATTAACATTTGACTCATTTTAGTGAATTTAGTGTTTTGAGGTAACGACACTCAAGGATCCATCTCTTATTGGTTTGACTTCTGTATAGTTTGTCTTTACACTAGAGCTTGTGTGACTGCTGTGTCTTGCCTTACGCTCAATGCCCACAGAGGCTGCTGGGTTTGCTGTGAAGAAGGTTTTATGTGCAGTGCAAGAATTCAATTTAGTTTTGTATAGCACCAATTCACAACAACAAGAACTTTACAAAATTGTTGATTCACCAACAGATCAGAGAATCTAACAGTTCAAACAAAGGAAATGTAATAACAAACACATTGGTCCATAGGGAGTGGGACGACCATGGTCCAGAAATGTTCTGGATTATCACTGGAAAAGAAGTAAGAAACCTCTGGCAGGCCCACATTGAAAGAGGCTCCCATGGATCCAGGACTCAGGCTGTTGAACGAGGACTGAGGCTGTGCTCTCAAGCAGTGAGGGAGTGCAGCCCACAAGTCCAGGCCAGGGGAGACCAGTCCACAGGTGCAGATGAGAGGGTCAGATTCATGAGTCCCATCAGCATAATAATAATATAAAGAATATTATTATCAGCACGCTAGGAAACAAAAAGCACATTCAAATTATTTACAATACTAATGTTGACCTAAAATTTCATTGTAACGAGTTCTTGTGATTGTATGGTAGATTTTTGTAAACTTTTCATACATTTGAACTATGTATGTAATTACCTAAAAGAATAATATGAGGCTCTGTCTCCTACATAGACAGTAACCGTATAAGAGTTAAATAAAATACACTTCAGATAAACTGTAGCACCCTCAGGAAAGGAAATGGCATGAGAAGGAGTTAGGAACCCATTGAACCTGTGAGAACTGCTCACAAAAAGGAATCACATACAAAAATATATTAGAATACATTTGTCTGTATATGAAAATAAAAGTAAACAAAATAGAAAACGAACCTGTGAGCTGACTTCCACATGAGGCTAATTGCTCATCTCTGCCGCAAATACACTGCTTTTGTCTCAATAGCTACTTAAATACACAATATACAATAATAACGTTCTAAATGTTTCTTTGAACTGCCACCTTAACGGCACGGTGGCTGAGTGGATAGCACTCTCGCCTCTCAGCAAGAAGGTCCTGGGTTCGAATCCCGGCCGGACCAGGGCCTTTCTGAGTGGAGTTTGCATGTTCTCCCCGTGTCTGCGTAGGTTTCCTCCGGGTACTCCGGTTTCCCCTACCACTAAAAATATGTACAATAGGTCTGGCATGCGCCTCCTGTTCGGCGACCCCGCTCCCATCTCTGTGTGGAGTGAGAGGACAAGTGCCCAAAAAATAACAATTGTAAACCGCTTTGTGACTCTGGTCTGTGAAAGGCGGTATATAAATAAAGCTTACTTACTTACTACTTACTTAACGTGGTGGGGGAGTTTGAGTACTCGGGTGATAGGGGATGCATAAGGATTTATGCATGATGTGATAGGGGATGTGAAGCGCTTTGCGTTGCCTTGTGTAGGAAAGGCGCTCTACAAATAAACGTTGATTGATTGATCCTGGGAGCTATGCTGTCTGGGGCTTCATTCCCCTGGTAGGGTCTCCCATGGCAGATAGGTCTCAGGTGACGAGTCAGACGAAGAGCAGTCAGAAGCCAACATGGACAGCACGAACAGAAGAACCGTGACGTCGCCTTGCATGGCGCAGCCGGGGCCCCACCCTGGAGCCAGGCTCGAATGCGAGCGCCTGGTGGCCGGGCCTTAGCCCACGGGGCCCGGCTGGGCTCAGCCCCGGCGGAGGAGGGGGACATTGAGTCCGAGTGGACCATGTTCTCTTCCTCTATCGCCGATGCGGCGGCACGTAGCTGTGGTCGCAGGGTCTCTGGTGCTGGTCCCGGCGGCAATCCCCAAACCCGGTGGTGGACACCGGCAGTAAGGGATGCCGTCAGGCTGAAGAAGGAGTCCTATCGAGCAATGATGGTTCATGGGACTCCTGAGGCAGCTGTCCAGTATCAGCAGGCCAAGCGCGCCGCGGCCCGGGCTGTTGCAGAGGCAAAAACCCGGGACTGGGAGGACTTCGGAGAGTCCATGGAGCATGACTATCGGTCGGCCTCGAAGAGATTCTGGCAAACCGTCCGGCGCCTCAGGAGGGGGAAGCAGTTCTTTGTCAACACTGTGTACGGTGCGGGTGGAGGGCTGCTGACCTCAACTGGGGATATTGTCGGGCGGTGGAAGGAATACTTCGAGGTTCTCCTCAATCCCCCCGTCACGTCCTCCAGGCAGAGGCTGAGGATGTTGGGGCGGATACTTCCATCTCCCTGGCAGAGGTCACCAAGGTGGTTGGCAGCCGCATGGTGGCAAGGTGCCGGGAGTGGATGAGATCCGTCCTGACTATCTAAAGTCTCTGGATGTTGTAGGACTGTCTTGGCTGACACGTCTCTGCAACATCGCGTGGCGATCGGTCTGCCAATGGAGTGGCAGACCGGGGTGGTGGTCCCTCTCTACAAGAAGGGGGACCGGAGGGTGTGCTCCAATTATCGTGGGATCACACTCCTCAGCCTCCCTGGTAAGGTTTACTCCAAGGTACTGGAGAGGAGACTACGGCCGATGGTCGAATCTCGGATTCAGGAGGAGCAGTGTGGTTTTCGTCCCGGTCGCGGAACACTGGACCAGCTCTATACTCTCCATCGGATACTCGAGGGTTCATGGGAGTTCGCCCAACCTGTCCACATGTGCTTTGTGGATTTGGAGAAGGCGTTCGACTTGTTCCCCGGGGTGTACTTTGGGGGGTTCTCCGGGAGTACGGGGTCCAGGTTCCTCTGCTGAGGGCCGTCCGGTCCCTGTATGACCGGAGCCAGAGCTGTGTTCGCATTGCCGGCAGTAAGTCAGACCTGTTCCCGGTGCATGTTGGCCTCCGCCAGAGCTGCCCTTTGTCACCGATTCTGTTCACTGTGTTCATGGACAGAATTTCTAGGCGCAGCCAGGGGTCGGAGGGGGTCCGGTTCGGGGACCACAGGATTTCATCTCTGCTGTTTGCGGATGATGTTGTCCTATTGGCTCCAACGAACCAGGACCTGCAACATGCACTGGAGCGGTTTGCAGCCGAGTGTGAAGCGGCTGGGATGAGAATCAGCACCTCCAAATCTGAGGCCATGGTGCTCGACCGGAAAAAGGTGCCTTTCCCTCTCCGGGTGGGTGGGGAGGTCCTTCCTCAAGTGGAGGAGTTCAAGTATCTCGGGGTCTTGTTCACGAGTGAGGGAAGGATGGAGCGTGAGATTGACAGGCGGATCGGTCCAGTGTGCGCAGTGATGCGGTCGCTGTATCAGACCGTTGTGGTAAAGAGGGAGCTGAGCCGAAAGGCAAAGCTCTCGATTTACCGGTCAATCTTTGTTCCCTCCCTCACCTATGGTCATGAGCTTTGGGTAATGACCGAAAGAACGAGATCGCGGATACAAGCGGTCGAAATGAGCTTCCTCCGCAGAGTGGCTGGGCGCTCCCTTAGAGATAGGGTGAGGAGCTCGGTCACACGGGAGGAGCTCGGAGTAGAGCCGCTGCTTCTTCACGTCGAGAGGAACCAGTTGAGGTGGCTCGGGCATCTGTTCCGGATGCCTCCTGGATGCCTCCCTGGGGAGGCCCCGGGGAAGACCCAGGACATGCTGGAGGGACTATGTCTCTCAACTGGCCTGGGAGCGCCTTGGGGTCCCCCCAGACAAGCTAGAGGAAGTGTGTGTGGATAGGGAAGTCTGGGCGTCTCTGCTTAGACTGCTGCCCCCGCGACCCGGCAACGGATGAAGCGGAAGAAGATGGAAGATGTTTTTAAAATACAAATGTATTGTATTGTAATTGTGTATGGTATTGTACTGTATTAAATGCAGGAGTCTTTGAGGCTGGAGTGGGCACTGAACTCAACTGGGGTCATGGGTGGGTCAAAACTTAGACAGTTCCGTTTCACCACTAGATGGCGGTATTATCAACAAAATTAAATGAGAGGGACATTTACATAAACTTTCCAACAACTTAACGGAGACACGGGAAGAACATGCAAACCTCATCCGACCAGTATTCGAACCCAGGATCTTCTTGCTGAGAGGCGAGAGTGCCACTCAGCCAAGATTTACAGTCTAAACTAGTCTGGCAAGCTCTTTTTGACTACGGAATTTTAGTTGCATACTAATACTACTCTTGCTTTTTGGTGATTCGTTCAGTGGATAATATTGTGGACATTTGTAGAACCTGTGGAACAAGCATTCATTAAATCACCTAAATCATTATGTAAAGGAACTCTTATCTTATCTTATCTTATGTAAGTTTTGGACATTCATCATTTGCATACCTGTCAATCAGAAGATAAGGCCTACAGGTGAACAGTTCCTAACCATTTTTCACTAACTATTGTATTGTTCCTGGTATCTGTACTTATGTTCCAAATGTTGTAATGTTGTAAAGTTGTTACAACATAGCAAACACAGCATTACAATTTAAAATGTGGTTCTAAATCTTGCCAAAATCTTGCAAATGCCAACACAACATACAAGCATACATCTCGAAACTGCAGGAGAGAGTTTGTCCCATTTCCAGATTGTCTTTAACTATAGTTGTTTAAAAATATATATATATATGCCACTATACTTTATATACTGTAGGAGGATTCTCCCAAATTTTCGGAAAGGCCATAATTCACAGTGTAAATACAGCTGGGAAACCTAATTTATATCACTGTCACATTTTTTAGACTGAGAAGGGAAAAAGAGAGGACCACTTTTTTGGTGCTTTTCTTTTTCTGTTTCAACTGAACATTCTTCTAAATTGTAATAGTGCTCAACATGTCTCCTCCTATCTCCTACCAGCTCCTTAAGGTTGGCCCCTTAGGAACAATAAGGTTAACCATTAGGAACAATAAGGACCCTGTCCATATGGACCAATAAATATACAATACAATACAATACAATTTATTCTTGTATAGCCCTAGGTCACAACAGAAGTCATCTCAGAGACTTAACAAAACCATTGAAATCACCAACACAGGTCAGAGAATCAACAGTTAAAACAGGGATCCGCTCCTCCGGACGGACAGGCTAATGATCCAGGACCTAAGCTTGCCACAGAACGTGGACAAGTCCGGTGCAGGACTGAAGCACTCCCAGGCGGGTCGGGCGGGGCAGTCCACTGGTGTAGATGGAGGAGGCCAGGCTCAGAGATCCCGTCATCGTACCATGAAACAGACAATGGGACAACGGGTGAATAGCAATGAACAAACTACAGTCAAAATCCTAATTATGCTAAACAGATAAAGTAGGAAGGAGGAGAGGATAGTGCTCAAGTTACCATACTTCTCCAGCAAACTGACTCCCTATGCAGCTTGACTGACAGTCTGAGGAGTTTAGCCTTCCCTGAGTCTTACCTTCCTAGCCATATGCTAAACTAAAGAGGACTGTTTTAAACCTAGCCTTGAATAAAGAGAGCGTATAATTTTTTTTTGCAGTCATCTCAGAGACTCTGAGATGACTGCTGTTGTCATTAAGGGCTATACAAGAATACATTGTATTGTGTTGTATTGTAGGAAGGAGCTATTTTTTACAGTTTTTGGATACATACCTTTGTTAAATCAAATACATAATTTAATGCTAATATATAATAATATTACACGTCTGAGTGTAGCCCTGATTCAGATTGTGATGCACAATGCACATTTGTGCACAAATGTGCATTGTGCATGTCTCGGACTTATAGGATTATAAATACAGGAGTGCCACAGGGCTGTGTTCTCTCTCCCCTGCTCTTCTCCCTGTACACCAACCACTGCATCTCAAAGTGCTCAACATAATGAGATAGAAACAACAAAAAAGCGTTAAATCATAAATAATCACAGTAAATTAAAAAGAGTGAAGATGAAATCCATCAGTTGTATGCGCAGCAAAACAGAACCTTTTCTTAACGTGAATTTAAACATTGTCAGATTAGAAGCCAGAATGTAGCTTCATAAACCATAAATGCTGTCTACTCTGGGCACCAGCAGGAGGCTGGCTCAGTTTGTTTGTGTTGCTCCCATTTCTTTTTCCTTTTTTGCAGCTTTTACTTCATGGCAGGTTTAAAAAAAAAAAAAACAGTGCAAAAAGTACACTCTGAGCATTTTGAACTGGTTTTAAACTTGTGTATATGGTTCTAAACATTGCATTATTATTTTGTATTCTCCTAAAGCTTGGAGCTGTTTCCAATAGTAACGTGTCTGTCCTGGAGTGAATCCTTGTTCCTCCTCCTCTTACCCTTTACCCCATATGCACTTTGGACGGGACTGCAGCGGAGAGCTCCAATCCAAGGCTCTAACTGCAGTGGAGCTGAACCAGGACTGAACCAGGACTGAATCAAGACTGAATCAAAACTGAATCACGACTAAACCGGTACTGAACCGGTACTGAACCAGGACTGAATCAAGACTAAACCGGTACTGAACTGGGACAGAACCAGGACTGAAGAGCCACAATGCACTGGTCCAGGCAGAGACTTGTGATGCTGCAGAAACAGGTGACACACAACAACTTTTATTTTGGATTCTGCAATCGTATAGTAGTAGCAGCATTAGTGAAAGTGGCTGCAGTAGTAGTAGTAGTAGTAGTCGCAGTAGCAGAACTATGTGTTTGTATGAGCTTTGTGTGGTTAAACATAAACTGCAGGGTAGAGTCCAAGGACCACCGCAGACCCTCTCAAGGGGAAGGACTGTGTAGAGAGAAATAGGCAGAAAAATAAATATATCCATATGTACTTTGAAACATGAAGACGACACATAAAACATGTAAAGGATGTTCACAGCTTTTCAATATCTCTCATAATTTAACCTACATACAGCACTTTGATTACTCTATATTATTGTACTGGCTTGCTTTTGGATTTTTTTGCGTTTTTTTTAAAGATACTATCTTTTATTTTTGTAAGTAATATGTGTGTTTTGCTCCAACAGAAAGAGTGTCGTAAAAGTCAAATGTGAACAAATGAAATAACCATGCTATCTTCATTTTATTGAAAAAAAAAATACATGTTGCATACTAAGAAAGAGCCGTGAGAGCCACTATTTGACCATTTCAACTTTGTGACTATTGGTTGAGTGAGTGTGGTCCTCTCTTTTTCACTTCTCTGATTGAAAAGACCGATCTACAGGCCAAAAGAGGCTAAAAATGCATTAATAAGAAAAGAGATTAAGTTACATGAATATCATAACTGTTGATTTGTCTGTGGTTTGAAATTAAGGTACTCCAGCTTTAAATCAAGCTAGCAGACAGAAGCTTGTTTTGTCTTGGTGGTGTCAGTGTTGCTTGTGTTGCAGGTCCGGCGTGGGTTCTGCTCATCAGCCTCGAGGCCCTCAGACCGAGGCCTCTACGAGCTGCGGGTGTACGACGTCCAGCCGCACCTGTACACGCGCTTCCTGGCACTGACCAATCAGAAGATCCACCTGAGGACCGCACACTCACAACTCATCGGCTACTGGAGCGTGGAGTATGGAGCCCTCAACCAGGTCTTCCACATCTGGAGATATGGTACGGAGACACGGCAGGACTGAGGCAGGACTGAAATAGGTCTGCAGCAGGATTGGCCAGACCACTTTTGTGTCAGTATACCTGGAGGTTCAGACCACTCATCCCTCAACATTATTGAAAGCCAAAGTCATGAAAAAGCTGGATCATGCTCATGCAGCTCTGGTACCACACTCTATAAACTACGACTGAAACCACAGCTAGCCTGAGACACATTGACAGGCAACCAGTATGTGCCATCGGCCCCTCCCACCACAACCATTTGGCATCTTACAGCAGCAGCCACCCCACTGAGGCACCTCAGGTCTCCCATACCTGTTGTATAATGTATGGCCCCTTTATAGATTGGTTGTTAAAAAAATAATTGGTCGAAAAACATAACTTACAACAAAATGGGTTAAAACAATGCAACTACCACACTCTTGTGTACCCTCAGAGAGCTACTCCCAGCGGACAGCGGTGAGGGCATCCCTGGCGCAGGACGCTGATTGGACGGAGCAATACATCTCGAAGGCCATCCCTATGCTCACCAAGCAGAATAATGAGGTGGGCCGCTTGTTATGGGGACTGCAGCCCCCGCCCAAAGAGGGAGGTGTGTTCGAGCTACAGCGCTTCCATGTAAAGCCAGAAGGGCGGCGCCTTGGATGGGGCGGCCTGCGGGACTACATCCAATCCCATCATGCACCTGGACTCAGCCAAGTCGTAGGAGCTTTCTGCAACGACGTGGGACACAACCATACTGGTGAGGGTTAGGCCTGTGGACCATGTACCTGGTAGAAACCTGTTTCACACCTGGTTTACACTTAAGGCAGTCATCTTGTCCAGTAACCTGGATTATACCAAATGCAGTAATCTAATATTTCGTATGCATTGAAACATTCTCGGGTATTTATTCAAACGGAATCTTTGCACGAGAATTAATGGGAAGTAGTGGGAATAAATTAGATTAACTGGGAATTATCCAGATTGACTCCTTCCGCAAAATGTGTTGTTCTTCCATGAAACAAGTGATTGTTCCAAAAAATAATTAAATCTTAGAATAAATATGTTGAAAACATTTTACATGCATGCTGATTAGTTTACCTTGGTGTGTGTGTGTGTGTGTGTGTGTGTGTGTACAGTACAAGTTTTGTGGTGGTTTCAGAGTCCAGATTATTGGGCCGAGACCAGAGACCAACGAGAGACAGGTAAGAGTCCTGTACAAGATTACTATTAATGTTACTACTGCTGCATTAAAATTGCTTCCACTACAATTACCAGCGCTTTTGCTACTGCCATTACCACTTCTACCTACTACTACTACTACTACTACTACTACTACTACTACTACTACCACCAGTACTATTACATTATAAAATAGATTCACCAGTATAAATGATCTTTTGTTTCAGCTGGGCCCACAGTGGAGCATCTAGATCCTGTCTCAAACAAACTCATGTTCCCTCTGCCTTTCTCCCCAATGAAATAAAAAGTCAAACTTTTGTTGTGGTTCACTTACTTGGGGGATTCCTGGAGGATGGCAGACTTTTGTTGTAAAGTCTAGCCTCAATTGAACATGACTGGTCTGATGTGGGCGAAGGTATGGATGGAATGGGAATAATGGCGTGATGAGACATGGTCCTTGGTCCCATACTGCTGTGGTTTTACTTAGTTACTGGCCTGCCACCATCTGAGGGTAACACCACCATCCAGGGGACGGTCCAGAGGGCTGCGGAGGATGTGCTGAAGGGGGTGTTGATGGGGTTGTGTTTTTTTGCTCTGCCTCCCTGCTCCCTTTCTGTTTTTTCAGGGCTTGTGCGTGACATCCATTGGAGGTACTAGTATGGGGTTGGGCGGAGGCTCTAAGATTCTATATTCCAGGTGCCACATATACCAGGCTGAAGAAATAAACGTAATCACGGTTGTTGGGCCTGGGTTTGACAGCTCAAGGTTCTTCATGGGAGTGATAAAACAGTAGATTCAGATTCAGATTCATTTTATTCGCCATTTGCAGTAACACTACATTGGAATACATTAGTAAAAGTTCCCAGTGTGCACAGGACAAGTACAGACATAAAACAACATTAAAAGACAAAAATAAAACAAATTTTAAAAACAGTAAACAAATGTCACTGTGAAGTTGACCAACTAAAACAGATCTATACAAGTGCAAAAACATTAAAGTGCTCTATTCAAACTGATAACAGCTCGTGGAAAAAAACTATTAGCATAACGAGATGTCCTGCATCTCAGAGAACAGTATCTTCTGCCAGAAGGAAGAAGCTGGAACAAGGCTTTTCCTGGGTGGCCAGAAGAGTCATTGATAATTCTCAGGGCACTGTTAAAAAGTCTGGATTGATAAAGAGCCTCCAGGACAGGAAGTTCACAGCCCACGGTCCTCTTTGCAGAGCGGAGCACCTTGTTTAAAGCTCTCTTTTCTTTATCTGTGATGTTACCGAACCACACAGACACAGAACCAACAAGTAAACTCTCAATGGTGCAGCGATAAAAGTTCAGCAGAATCTTAGAGTTAGTGGTAAATTCTCTAAGTTTCCGCAGGAAGTAGAGACGCTGACGTACTTTCTTTAGTAGTGGTAGATGAAGGGATTAATAAGTATGGCACATTTGGTGACAGGGCCAAGTCAGCACAGGGAGCAGGAGCAGGAGGACCATGAAGATGAAGACACAGACCAAGCAGAGGCAGCAAGAGGAGGGAAGAGGAAGAGGAAGAAGAGCTGGTGGAGCTGAACCAGGAGGACCTATGGATGTAGAGGGAGGATGATGAGCGGAGCGAGAGAGGAGTGAGAATTTTCAGAGGCTCTTTGATAAAATATTGAAAATAAAAAAGTTTTGTGTATTTGATTGAATGAGTCTATAAACGTACAACATACATTTGAAACATATCAAGGGTTCTTCATGGTCTTTAAATCAAGAAAGTAAGTAGCAAGTAATCATTTATTTAGCGTCTTTCCCAGAGCCACACTGCTTATTTTTTGGGAGATTTTTTTTTATCTTACTCTCCACATTAAAAAGCTTTGAATTTCATGTAGCCATATTTAAGGCCTTAAAAGCTTTCAAGCCGAGAACCTTTGGCAGACCACATTGCCTGAGCTCTGGTGTGTTGTGAATTTAAAAACCAATTCTGCATTCATAAAACATGTGTTTGTCTACCCAACAGTGGCATTACATTTTCCCTCAAATGTATTAAGCGTGGGTATGATTGGTCACATGTTTTTTCTGGCATTCTGATTGTATACACTCCTGTCTTTGGCAGGACAAAACCCCAGGTAAATGTGTAAAGTAGTTTACCTCACTCATGTCTTGTTTTGTTAAATCAAATCCAAAAAATATTATAGCCCAAGAAAAGCAATTTAAACATTTGCTCAATAACTGAAACATGTGATAAACAAGAACAACTCAACAATAAATGATGAAACTTGAAACTGTCTGCAGGATGAAGTAGAGACTGCTGTGGGGCTAAGCAGGGACTGGTTTGGAGCGATTCAGCATCAGCATGGATGGGGTGCAGAGATCAAGGTACTGGGCATCATCTTCTGGCGAGTGGGGCTTCATAATGGGGCTGTGTCCACTATATTGTCCTTCTGTTGGATATTCAGAGCTGGCTTGGGCAAAAGACGGTTGCCATGTCACTATTAAAAGACAGGATGAAAAAGCTTCACATCTGTTCTACAATAATATTCATTTTGCTACACACTAACTGTATTTATTTGTGTTTATTTAATTAAGCGTGTTCTTTTATGGATGTTTGACTGACTGGTTTTGTTTGGCTTGGCCTCTTCATACATACTTGTGTGTTTAACCCATGGATGTATTAAAATGGTTTAACCCATGGATGTATTATAATAACGGTTTAACCACCTAAAAATAATGGTGGTCCGTGTGCACGTGTACTGCAGAGACGGTGTAACGCCCCCTACTGTCTGGTAAACATACATATAAAAGCCATGGATCTATTATATTAACGATAAAAGCCCACATTGACACATATGCAGAGTTTGGCAAGATGGTGTTATTCTCAAATACATCTTACTTGAGGACTAAAACTGCGGTATTCTCTTTTCACATATATTAAAAACTAATAATTTGGCTGTGTAAGTGTGTATCAATCACCGCACTCCAAGACAGTCCTTGCTGAGCCCAAAATCCAAATGGAGATCTCCATCATTGAAAAAACACGTGAGCAACAAAGCGCAGCTACAGGAACTGAGAGAAGGAGGAGGTAGTAGAGTATGGTTGATACTATTTTATTGATATTATTAAAAGCGGTGCGGTTTTTACTGTGCACTTAGAGTAAGTATTCAGAAGCTGCAAAGATTACATTTTTCCACTAGATGTCAGTGTTAGAACCCAGTATGAGCTCAGGCTCTGGTCTCGGTGTGTTAGTTCTTCATCTGCTCATCACTACAAAGAAGGCATCTGAAAACATATTTCTTTTCGCTGGTCTCGGTCTCGACTAAAGTAAAACCTGACCTGCATAAGGTCAAAGGAAACAACACTACAATACTTAACTGTAAAGTCCACAATCTACACAAGAACAGAATTGCTTTTATACACACCAAAAAATGAATGAGCAGTCTTCAATGGTAGTAAAACTTCAATAGTAAAACACAACGACACTGCATTATACAGACTGAACACATTGTATAGGAGGATCTTTGTTTACATCCGTGTGCGCATGCGCCACTCTGAAGCATGGACTTCCAGGCCCAGTCCCAATACCCACACTGCACCCTACACACTTCTACGAAGTGTGCATTTGTTCGAAATGCACACCAGGGTTGGAGTGCGCAGGTTACAAGTGTGCAAAAAAGGCAGAATTGGGACAGTGCACCCTGAGTGCAGGTTACGTCATCGACTCGTCAAGAGACGGTCATTTTCAGACCTAAACTTTATAAACATTAAAAGGTAATTTTGTCTGACCCTTTGGGAAACAAAATGAATTGCTTCACACACGTTAAAATACATGTATATTAGTTGTTTTTAATTAGAGATAGCTGTATAATTTTAAGTTAAATGTGGGTAACTAACTATCTGGTCAGTTTTTCTACATTCTAAGATTATTGTACTAAGTGTAAAGTTTAAATTGAATGTTATATAAACGCTTTTTTTTTAAGTTATTAAATTGTTAAAACACAATGTCCGTAATTCTTCATCAGACGTTTATGCTTCTTTCCAAGTAACATAGAAAAACTTATTTACACACATACAGCATATATATTTCAAAATTTATATTTAAATGCATTTTCCCGACGTTTTGATGTGTACCGCAAAGAATTATGGGCAATATCCTTCGCCAGAGTGCGCATAGATGCAGGCTACAGCGAAGTGTGGATCAGGGGCGCAAAGGGGGCGGGGCCAAAGACCTCCCTGGAGAATTGGGACACCCTACGCCAGCCATTCCCAAACTCGGTAACACCGAGGCCCCCTTAAAAATCTGACGGTCTGCGTGGCCCCCCAAAATAATAACCAAGAAGACAACATTAAGAATAGGCTCTTCTGGTTATTTTATTTTGGGGAAATAGCCTCTGCTACAAACATTGTAATACAAAAATTATTACAGTGGATTATTCAAGTCAAATAATGAACACAAATATTTTAATATTACAAACAAAACAGTATAAATTTAACATTAAATAATTATATTATTTTTTTATTTTTTTTATGACCTCCCGCGGCCCCCCTGCAGTACCCTCGCGGCCCACCAGGGGGCCGCGGACCCCACTTTGGGAGACACTGCCCTACGCACTCGCACCCTTTATCGGGAACGCGCAAATTAGGGGCGCAAGGGTGGAAGTGCGAGTATTGGGACGGGGCCCCAGACTCAGGCCCCGTCCCAATACTCGCACTTCAAAGAAATGTATAAAAATCATCAAAGCTAAACTTACCCTGCAAGGAATCTTCTAAACAAAATAAGGCAATTATAGTACGAAGTACGACCACATTAGTCCAGTTCTTAGGGCGGGGCAACAATCAACAGGACAGGCAGGATTCAAACTCAACCAGGTCAAAATGTCCACACCATGACATTTTTAGGCTTTGAAGATAGAGCTGTTTGGATTTTATGTCTAACTTTGATGTTTACATTTTTCAAATAAACTGTTATATACTATTTTAGACCAATGGAGTCTATTTGTATTGTATAGTAAGGTCGACCCACTGTCCTCATGTGAGGACATTGATTTTTGAGAGAAGTACTAATTGGATCAAGCTGAAATTTTGAATTTCAACTAATTAGGACCTTCCGGCCTAAAAGATCATACATTTTCTCTTTAGGTTATGAGAGACCCACTGTCCTCATACGAGGACATGTTTTTTCTCAAAAACTACTTCCTGTACAAAATCACAATTTAGGTATTATACTTATTGGGTCCTACTTATCCTAAATAGCAAAAAAATATATAAAATGCACACCAGACAAATGCTCGGGTCTCAGGAGGTTAAGTCTCTGCACTGGCTTCCTGTGGCTCA